AAACTGCCGTGTTGTTCGTGGGCTCCCTCTGGAGCGATGCACGAAGGAAGGTGGTTCAGCCAGAGTGTTCCTAGCGTGTGCTGGGACAGCCCAGAGGAGCTGCGCTTACCTGCTGGCAGGAGGTGCTGAACCGCCCACTTCTGCGATGCTCTCAGCTCAGCTCTGGTCTGCTGCAGCTCTTTCCACAGGGAGTTCAGGACGAAGTCGTCTCCCCTGGCGCCACCGAGCTTCTCCTGCTGCCGGAGAGCCGTCTCCTGGAGCTGCTCGCGGCGCCAGGCGCTCTCCAGCTGGCCCAGCCTGCTGGACACGTTGCGGCTCAGCAGCAGGATGCGCTCGAGGACCTTGCCTTGCTCGGCCGCGTGCAGGGTGCTGCCCTGCTCAGCTTGCTCGCGGCTCCTCGCGAGCGCCCGCTCCAGCTGCGCCGCGGCGTGCGAGGCGACCTTCTCCACGGCCGCCGTCAGCGTGCTGGCCAGGGTGCCCGTGACCTGGCGCAGCTCTGCCTGCAGGCTCTGCAGTTCCGCCTTGAGGATCTCGTCCACGGCCTGCAGCATCATGTTCTCCTTCATCTGCGAGTTCTCCAGCATGATGAAGAGCTTGTCCCATTCCGTGTGTTCTCGCTGACAGTCGCACGAAGCCGCTGAAATGCAAGATACAGATGTTGCTGTTCCTTTGTACTTACGTTTACAGACAGTTATTTAGCAAAGTCTGCCTCTCTGTAGCACTTATGTGCTCCAACTGCTAGCCCGTCTGTATTGAAACAGAGAGGTAAAGCAATGTGCATTATAGTAAATACAAAATGTAGTGCCATCCCCAGTACTTCCTGGGAAAACTGAAAAATAAAAGAGTATAAAGGAAATTCTGAGGGAACGTGATTCAAGTACTCCAACATTTGCTACCCGTAATAGTCTGCTTGTACCAGGGCATGCTTCTTCCTTCTGAAAAATGCAATGCTTGTAATAACTGTTATAAGAGCTAAGCAACAAAGAATACAGTCCCGCACTGGGCAGGAGAGAGAGATGGTTTAAATGTACTTACTTTCCTCAGTACCAAGAACCGGACCTTCAATTTCATTATCCAGGTTCACGTACATGAGATCATAGTCGTCATCTCCGTGCAGCGCAGAAGCCCTGAAAACACAAAACAGCATAAGCAAGGCAAGCATGTCTTGAGGCAGCATTCTCCAGCTGTTTCCTAAAAGTATCTGAGCCGCCTGGAGCGAAAGGTCCCGAGCGGAGACGAGACTCGGAGCGAGCGGCGGAGAGCCCCTAATAAATGCTCCGAGTGCCTCAGCTTGAATGAATGAGTGCAGTGAGTGCCAGTGGTGTAATAAGAGCCCTTGTGATTGTTTGCCTTGGCCGGGAGGCGCGGGGGCGTGCGGCTTTGCTCAACCTCACCCTTCCAGTTCGCGCCGGGGGGAGATGGGCTGCCGAGAGGAGGGACGGAGCGGGGCCGGCCGCCTGCGCGAGCGGCTGCAGAGCCTCCCGCGTGGATTTGCTGCAGCGGGATGCGGGGGACGGAGCTGGCCGCTCCGCACACGCGTGGTGCGCTTGGTGATACGTGCCAGGCTCTGCAGAGGGCTGCCGGAAAAACAACTACCTGGAGTCGCTTTAGACGCATGTGTGTAGCTCAACCTAAACATTGTAGGATTTTGATAGTTATATTTAAAACTCCTGTTTTGCTGGCAAGTTGCTGTTTTAAGCAACTGAGAACCCAGAAAATGCGATGGCTTGTTAGGATTTTATTTTTACATTCCTTGCTCTAATTCCTTATAATAACATTGTAACTCTGGATAGCACATTACTACCAGTATCTTGTTTCAGGAGCCAGTAAATTAGCAGCTGGATGATTAGACTTGTTTCAGTTAACTTGAAAACAAAATGAGGCATCTTTGGATTAAGCATTAATCCAGTGCTAAATATTATTGTTATTGTCAAATTCTACCTAAAACTACACAGTTCCTGTCTTAGGTTTTGGAAAGCTCAGTGAGTTTAGGATTGTTTCACAATGCCTTGCTTGGGCGAGACTGAGGGTTACAGTGATGGTATAAACTATGTATTGGCCACAGTGCCTTTGGAGGATGGAGAAAGCAAGCAGTTGTGTCTGCTGGGTGTTCTGCGCCCCCTTTTTGGTGAGAACCTCTAGGTTAGAGCCTCACCCTCATACCCCTGCCTTACAGGACTAGCTGGTGCTGCCTAAAGAGGGGCCTGCGCTTCCATGGATTTCTGTCTGTTCCGTCTCCATCCGGGGCACATGCTGATGGTGGGCGATGCGGCTGCACAGACGGTCCAGGCACATCCGCACCCAAGGCTGGGGCTGCTGGGGCTGAATGTAGTCGCCCGCAATGCCATCACCTCTCCCCGCGTGCCGGGAAAGGCGCCGGCTCTGCCCATCTCCGCTCCCGACTGGAGCACGTCCTTCTCAGTGTGTGGTCTGCCTGGAAAAGCTGCTCTGGAAAGGGTTGGGATAAGGGTGGCAGGGGGAACGAGAGGGAGAGGAGGTGGTTGAGAAGGTTTTTCCAGTCTCTGATGGCAAGCGCTCACTCAGGCTCACAGTTCAGGCTGAGGCAGACGCAGCAGGACGGGGCACAGGGGAGTTGCTGGAGAGCTGAGCGTTGAGTGGGCAGCAGGTCAGGGAGCTTCACGTGCTTCAGCCTCCTGGAAGCTGAGAAGATGGATATGACCAAGAAATGGCACGGCCTGTTCAGCGTGTGTTCAGCATGTGGGAAAAGCTGAGAAAATAAAGAATTGGATTGTGCTTCCCTAGGTTACAGGAAAAGCAGGCACAAACTGTGTTGTCTGTTTGCGGGTTTGTGTATACAGGTTAGTCAGTTAAAAGCAATTCCAGATTGGTGAGATCACTTAAATATTATTCAGGAGCAGTGGGGTTGCTTCTCATTTACCCTTTTTTTTCCCTTTATTGTGGCCAGTAAATATAAACCCAGAAATGTTTACAGAGTAGTAACTGGATAGAACTGCTCCCATTTGCATCTGTACAGTGTATTCCTGTTCAGGGAAGTTTCATGGCTGCAGTCCATCATGTCATGTCAAATTACATTGATCCTTTAATGCAGCTGATATTTAAAATGGTTGTTTTCTCAGATGGAATAATTGCTGCTAATGCCCAGAGCTGACAGCTTGCTTTGCATGATAGCCTAATTTAGGCAATAGCATATCCCAAGTCTGTGTCTCATTCCTCCTTTAGGGCTGCCAGGCTTTGCTTTTTCTCCTTTTACTTTGGGATGAACTTTGCCTATCCAGGTACATGGGAATTTTATCTCTTGCATCAAATGTGCCTGGAGTTGCAAGGCTCCGTCCTGTATAGGTGTGCAAGCACAGGGCACGAATGGCTTATTCTGCAAGCACTAAATTATCTGGAGAAGGAAATAATTTGGTGTAGAGGCAGGTATAAAACCTCTCCATTTCAAGGATAGGAGACAAGGTGTCGAGTGAACGTGTCTGTCTTGTCACTGTCTCATTAAACTCGGAGTAAAGTGGGGCCGTACTGGGCTGGCCTGGGTGCTGCCCTGCCTGGTGCTGCTCTGTGGATACCAGCTCTTGCTGTTACCCTGTTCAGTGAGAAAGGACCCTAAGCTGCATCCCTAAGCAGTGGGATTTTCCAAAGAACCTCTCGGGTTTAGGAGCAGGAGATTTCAAGTAGGGATATGACCTACAGAAAACAACGGGTATGCCACATGTAGGTATTTATGGATTAGAACGATGTGGAAATTCTCCATGTCCATGTGAATGATGTCAGGATGTGACCCCTGCTGTGGCCTTTGGTGCTGCCCTGGTGGCAAGGAGGGGCTCAGAGCTGTCTGCAAGGAGAAGCCCCAGATTATTCGAGCAAAATAAGAGCTTCGGAATAGGATGCGAAGGGCTGGCTGAATTCCTTCATTCCTTCGAAGTATAAGGACCCCTCAAGGGTCATTACAAGCTGGCTTGCCTGAAAGCTTTCTGAGCCTGGTTAGAATTATATTTTGGTTACTAGAGAAAAGGTTGCAAGACCTAGCAGTGTCCCAGGGTGTTTTTTCTATGTCTGGCTTGAGCTTGATGTGGTCCAGTCTGACCCCCATATCCTCCTCCTGCCATGCATGAAGTGACCTGTTTATCTTCCAAAATTGCGGGGCTCGGATTTAAATGAGAGAAAAAGCAGCAGGCCGGAGTGCTTGTTCCTCTTGGAAACCAAATCCAAAGAGACTGCAAGGACTTCCAAGGGTTTACAAAAATGATCCATACTACACAGCACCAGGCAGATGTTTTCCATATGTTGCTCAAGTGAAACTTAAATGTATTGAGGCAGGCATGTACAGCGATGTGAAGTTATATATTTTGGTATGAGCCAGGGTTTCAAATTGAATTATGTGCAGACATCTTAAGAAAATGTGTGAGAGGGGTTTGCATATCTCTGTCTGCAATTGACTCTCTCTCTGGCTCCCTTCTATTCCTGGAAATGACATCCTTAACTATTTATGTTCAAATTTACTGTCATGCATATTTAGCTCTCTTAATAACTAACTATTCTTTCCATATGAGGGTTAGTTAATTTAAATGTCTGAGTCTCAACAAAGGAGAAATCCAGCTTTTATGTACGTTCTGGCTTTTTTCTTTTCTTTTCTTTTTTTGATTAATTTAAGTCACACTTAGTCTAGTTTCAGCCTCTGTGGAATATCATCCAAATCTGAAAACTCATTAAGCAGCCACAAGTACGCAATTTTGTACTTAAGACTGAAAATTATAATTAATGGTAAATATTTCCTACTCCCATGTTGTTATACCTCAAATAATTCTTTCTAGGTTATTTGTTTATTAGGCTTTTTGGCCCCACGTGCGTTTTTCTGCAGTGAGTTTTATGCCTGCCTGGCTTCGTGCTGATGTTTCTTAGAAGCTGGTGTCTCCGGACGGGAGCTGACGTCCCGAGAGCCTCTCTGGCTTTCGGGTATTGACACAGGCAGTTACGGGGCAGTGACTTTCTGGATGGCTTCTCATTTGTTTTCCCCACAGGCAACTCCATGCTGCTGCGCGTCCTGCCCTCCCTGTATGAGAAGCGACCGCAGCCGATAAGCCAGCGCCTGCGGGAGCTCGTGGCGCTCACGGCTCAGCTGGACCAAGCCGAGCACCACCACCTTCTAAGGCTCTTCCAGACGTTGGCTAGGAAGAAAGAACTTGAGGTAAAACTATATTTGGGGAAAAAGCACAGCTCCACGTTACACCTCTTCTCGGAGGAGTTTAGTTTGTTTTGGTTAGTTTGGTGGTACCTGTATGTCTCTCAGGACAGGATGGAGTCCCGTAGCACACGTGGCAGTGCTTTTCCACTTTATTTCCATGCAAATTCTTCAATTCCAGTCCAGTTCTTAAATCACAAGGAGAACTTTGCAATAACTCAGCTGAACCAAAAAGTTTGGTTGAAGCAGGGTAATGGGTACAAGTGAAAAGCCAGGCAGTTCCATCTCCATATGAGGAGGAACTTCTTTGCTGTGAGGGTGCCTGAGCCCTGGCACAGTCTGCCCAGGGAGGCTGTGGAGGCTTCTTCTCTGGGGATCTCCCAAGCCCACCTGGATGTGACTGGGTGCCCCGTGCTCTGGGTGTCCCTGCTGAAGCAGGGGATTGCAGTGGATGATCCCTAGAGGTCCCTTCCAACCTCAACCGTTCTGGGATTCTGTGATTTCTCTGCCTTTTGGGCTGTTCTTCTGCCAGCTGAATGTTTCTGTTAGGATATATATGTAAACATCTATAAATAAATATATATAATTATATTAAATAATTGATCAAGGAGAATTAAAATGAATCAAGAACTGATTAGAGCAGGCGTGTTAAGTTCTTCCAAGTGCCTGACGTGTTTGTAGAAGAGGATTCTGGCCTTGCAAAACACACATTTGTAAACCAAGAAATACATAGGTCAGAACATTCCCCAAAGCCCTTGACATTAGTGGGAAGACTCCCTTTGGCTTTGGTGGGTGTGGGATCTATCTGTAATATTAAAATGCTAATATTTATCCTTGATCCTCATTAGTTTTAAATTATTTCATTTTTTTGCTGTGCTTTGTGTCTGTGTCACGCATAAATCCTAAATATTATCATTTATTACTACTAACAGTTTATTCAGGCCACCCAAATTCAGTATTTTGCCAGTGATATGTATCATTTTTCTGAGACTTATAAGTCTCAAAACAGACAGCTGAAGAATGGATCACTTTATGCTCTGTAACTGTGATGATGTTTTGTGCAGGCGACAACAGTTGCACAGCTCGGAGGTGTATTGGTGTGTATATATAAATATGTGTGTATATATGTGTATGTGTACATGCAAAATAATAATTCACAACAGGGTTAGGTAGTTGACAATCTACCTTCTGTTTACTACGGGATTTTAAGGCTCCTCAGCCTCTTGGAAACTGTTGCTCCAAGAAATGACAACTTGTCTGCACCATTTGCTGGCTGCTGAGGATCTTTCCCTCCTTCCTCCTTTTTATTTTATTTTTTTTGGACTGTTCTAGCTATTAACCTTGTCACGTTGTTCAGTCTCCTGGGAGAAACCAGACATTTCTACTTGTACTTTAATTCACTGCATTGTTGGGGAAGACTAATTCATATGCTGTTTGAATCGATGAAGTGTAGGACTGGCCCAGAGCAAGGGAAATACTTGATGAGGAAATACTTGGTCTTATATTTTTTTTTTTTAAGCAATTGGGCATTAACTTGCTTATATATGCATAACTGCAATGTTTCAGGGCTACAGCTTACCCTTATTCCATATGTTGAGCTGAACTCCAATTGACCTCAGGTCTACCTTTTTGCAAAGGTCAGTGAGGCTGGAAAAATATCTTCCTAAATCAAATTCTAGAGTTTTGTTTTTGTCACTGCAATGTACTGTACCTCCTGTGGTTACCTATATGCTCAATCCATTTCTCTCTCTCTCTCTGCTTTTTTTAATAGGTGCTTAAAGAGTGTATTCCATTTCTAATGAGACACTTAGGAAACCCTAATTACAGCGACGTTATTTTAAACATACTTACAGAAATCTCTAGCTACAAGCCCACAGCCTTAGCCGCTTTCCTTCCAATGCTGAAGGAAATTGGTGAGAGTTTTCCGAGCTTGATTGGCCAGACGGCCAAGATCTTCGGAGCTGTTGGGCGTGTTGATGAGGTAAGTTGAGAAGGAAACGCTGCTGTCCGGTCGCTTTGTGGCATCTGTGTCACCGTCTCTCTTCAGGTTGACTGTGCAGTGACTCATAGTCAATGGACTTCCAAGCCCCAGCTACCCCAGCCCCTGTGCCATCAAAGGGTCTTATTGAGACTTTGAGACTCCAGGTGTCCTGAGGACACCAAACTCATCACATGTATTTATGGCACGTGGTGATTTTTAAGGAGTTCCTCTATTTGTTTCCGGCTGTATGCTCACCACTATTCATAGACTGCAGTGCCCTGGCCTGTAAACTCGGAATAATTTTCTCCTGAATTCAAAGAGTTTCTGGTACATTATTTACATTTTTAAGTCTGTGGCAGAACTTGATTATTTATCTAGAAAATGAATGCTATGTAATAAGCATAAACACTTAGTGAAGTGTGACGGTGATGCCTATAGCACAGTAACTTGGATAATTTATTTCAGCAAAAAGCGAATCTTGCAATTTCCTTGTCCTTTCAGCAATTCCTCAGGCAAAACATACAGAGTCAAGTGGAGTTTGTCTGTATAAAGGCTCCAGAAATTGGTCCTGTGTATAAATCGAACTTGGCTCATTGATTCTCTTAAGTGTTCTAAAATATTAAATCTTATTTTCCTGAACTGTCTATTGAAGGTTGAGTACAAGAGCAATGTTTTGACCCCGAGGAAACACCAGTCGGTCTTGGCTTCTCTTTTTTTTCCTTTCTGTCTTCTCCCTTCCCACCTCCCTCCGCAGGTAGTTTCCTTTGCTTAGTGGTCCTCACCTGTTTTGCCATCGTGTCCTGCTGCTTTTTCATGGGTCCCACATACAGACAGGCTGCAGGGCTCTGAACGGGTTTGAGCAATTTCCCTGCCCCAAGGGAAACTGTTTGGCCTATGGCTAAACGTATGGCAGATCGTTCTCTGCTCAGCAGGCAAGGCACAGTAACTTCATATAAATTAACAATTCTGTATAAATTTTAGACCTTGGATGCCCTAACTTATCAGATAAGGGTTATTGAGTAATTATTGGGTAAATATTTTATTGAAGATTTTGTCTTTTCGGATCGGACCTTTTAGCTGTCCTGCCTACTCCTTTGGGTCCCATAGAAGCCAGTTTTAAGGAAGGAGGGGAGAAAAATGGCAGAGTTTTGCTGTGCAGGGGAGAATCCTCCACATATTTGTCTTCTGCCTTTGCAGTGACCGTTGCTTTTGTTTATGGTTGTTGAGATACAGATCATAATGTGCGCAGCAATGAGTGGCATCGGAACCTCCAGAGAGGTTTTTCTTTCCAGAGAAAACAGTTTCTCTTGGCCCTGAAGCAGGGCTGGTCCCTGAACGTCCCCAAGGTTGTGTGAGATCCGGGTTGTCCCGCACACTGCGGGGCCACTCGCTGCCAGCCTCATCGAGCCATGGACCTGTTCCATGAGGAGGGAGCCACTGGAGACCTCGGAGAGGGACGAGTGACGCGCCAGCACCCAAAGGTGCAGCGCAGGAGCCTGGACGTGGCCCAGGCGCTCAGGTACAAGCTGCTGTCCCCCCCAGCCAGGCTCCCATGGGGCCTCAGGCTGTGGTGTGCCCAGCTCTGTGCTGCTAAGGACGCAGAACGCGTCCTGCAGGGAAGTTCAGGGGAAAACCTTCCTTTGCACGACTCCCCAAATGGCTCGGGGTTGCCTCAGTAATACTCTTAAATTTGACAATTGCACAAATTTAACATGGGAGGCTGTGGGGTGGGGGAGCCAGATAGGAGTGGGCAGGATCCCGGCTGTGGCCTCTGGGATTCGGGAGCGGGAGGTTGGGGCTGGGAGGTGAGTTCCTCCTCGCTGTGGTTCTTTGGCACAGTAAATGTTGTTGAGGAGTTAGAAATCCCTGCAAAACCACAGGAATTAAACACTGCTTGTACCCAGTGCTGGTCCTGTCTGCGTGTGAAGCTCTGTGGACACGGTAACTGCTTCTGAGGATGAATTGATAGTCTCCTTGAGGGACTTGTGAGGGAGCAGGAGACAGCGGGTGTATGAGAATAGGTTATTTAGTACAGGTCAGACTGAGTGCCTTTCTGAACAGATGAATATGCAGTAGGCATCGCTCCTGTTGGGCTTCACCTGCTACAGCAAGAGGAGTCGTCCCTCCTTTGGCATTTCATGTTGGGTTTGCAGTGCCACGGTGGCTGGGCCACCCGGCAGGATTTACCTTTCTCAGCAGCCGGGCTGGGTTCCCTGTTTGCCACGGAGCAAGGAGCATCACCCAGGAGCCCCAGAGGTCCACATGGACACACGCAGCCCGCTTCCCATCTGTGAGCAATTCCTGCCTGCTTCCTGTGCCGTGTCCGGGAGCCGGCACTGCCTCCGGTGTCACCTGGGTGTCCGTGCGGTGGTGGATGGCTCGGCGAGGCGGAGCAGCCTGTCTCTACCTGCCCACCTGTGCCCTTGGGATTGTCCTTATTCCCAGCCACCGCTGTGGCGTTTTCCAGGAAACACCTTCCCAAAATGCTGCTTTTCCCTCCCTCCCTTTTACTCTAGTGGAGCTGTGTTATACACACACTCTTAGCTGGTACCTGTAGGCACGAATCAACATCAGGAGGCCCCTCTGGAGCCGAACAAAATAACTGCAGAGCAAAACAATAACGGTAACCTTGCAATTCTATGTATTCACGTTTTATTTTACTGGGAGGTTTACCTGGGGAAAGGAGGTGGGAAGGACTGAGGGCTGTCCCCTTCCAATACAGATTGCAGCTGTGAGCAGGAAACAGCTTCTGCTGGCTTCTAGGAGCAGCCCCTTGTGCTCTTCCTAAAATGCCTTCTCCACCTTGGCAGTCCAGGCAGAACCCCTGGAGAGATGAGAGCGCTGGATGAAAAAACATCCCTTGATTTTCAAGGCGCCGTCTTGTTTATCCACCCCCCTTCTCCTGATGTCACTGGGAGTCTCATGGGTGAAGCTGAAATAAGAAGTTGTCCCTTAATCATAAATTTGTGCAAAGCAAAACACCATCATGGGGCATAGGTCAAATGGGCATTTTAATATTTTTTGTAATAGCTACGCTTTTTGAAACTTTTGGAAATCGGAGTTTCTTCTGAAATCTTATTGATCTCTCTTATAGTCTCCTGCTCTTAAGGCAAAGCAAAGTATTTTGCCACACCTCATTGCCCATATTTTAATCTTTACCCCCGACAGATAAAGTCATGCTGTGAAACACAAGAGATGCTTATGATAAGGCATGCGAATACACAAAATAAGCACTCTTAAAATAGCAGTGGGTTATATATGTCCAGATAGGCTTTCTGAATTTTAGGGAATAAAAATTGTGGCGAAGATAATGATGGCTTTCATGTTGAGCTGTTCTGCTGTGACTTTGTTTTGCGGAACAGCCACATATTATATTACTCTCTAGAGTTTATTGTTCTTTTACCCCACTGCAGGCGAGTAGCAGCATTTGAGCCTGGCTGGAGAGGGTCCAGCTGGATCAAAGTGACATGAAAATGGTCGAAACCTCTCTTCCAGTTACGTCTGCCACACAGTTTGTTTAGGAAACAAAAATGTGTTTTAAATGTTAATTGAGCCTGTGTTTATCTCTCGCAGAGAGGAATGTCTCCCAAATAAACTGTTGAATATGTACCAGAAAGTCCAGCTCTGTCAAACCATTGAGGAAATGGAGCTTTCCATCACCCCGCGCCATCCCAAACACAGACGTATCTGTAGTTTTCCCCCATATGGCTGAAGGGAAGCAATTTGTCTGCTGCACTTTTCCCATTTATCTTTGTCATGGCACAGAGCAGCAGATCTTCTTTTGTTTGAAATGAATTGACTTTTTTTCTTTAAAAAAAGCCTCGCTTGTGATATTTAGGCAGTGTCCTGCCAAAATCTCCAGTGTTTTTTATGGCCCAGCTGTACCTAGAGTTAAACTCTCAGCAATTTTTTCTCCTGTTTCGCGGTCCCAGAAGGATACAGGTAATATTGCCCCTGCCCTGCAGTGTGTGTATGGCACGTGGCTCCCTCTTTTTCCCTGCTGGCTTCTGGGAAAAAGATTTTCTGTGCTTTCCTGCAGTGCCTTTGCTTGCATTGTAGCATGGGGCTGAAAGGCAGAAGCTGCCCTTGGTTTTGCAGTGTTCTGCAGTGAGGCCGGTGGATGAAACTGCCTGATCCCAGCTCCTGAGCTGACTGCTTCCCTCTGCTCCTTTCCCACTTGGATGTCTCTAGGCTTGGGGACTGTAATCCACTTGGGGCAATTATAAGAAAACAAGAGAGACCCAGGTTTATATTTTAGTATCTGAATTAATTCCCGTACGTACATGAATAGTTGGAATTGAGATTGCTCACACTTGCCAGGGAGAGATGCTGAAGCATTTTTGATTTGAATTTTTTATGTTATGATGTGAAACAGCCCCTTTAACCTCAGCTCACAGTGAACTCGGCCTCACTGTTAGAGAGGTGGGCGATGCTCTCCCTGCGGGGGGCAGATCCAATGGGTGCTGTGTGGGAGGTGATGGATGTGGCTGTGAGCAGCTTATCATGTGTGACAGGATCCTGCGTGGCCACCCACCTCCACCTGCAGGACACCAGGTCAAAGGAGTCCAATGGCTCTGGGCAGCAGCAGAAAGGATAAACTTGGAGGCAGTACTGCTAAATATAGACCATCAGTAACGGCAAGCAGGCCCAAAAAGGCAGTTGCGACCAGTAAGTGCTTCGTGGCCTGGAATCTGCAAGGCATTTGCTTGAACGTCTCCCCTCGGTGCCCCTGACACGAGTGGCACGGGCAGAATTCCCGGCAGCCGCCTGGTAACTGGTGGGTATCCGCAGTTATGGTGCGGAGGGCAACTTGGACACCGCCACGAGCTGCGAGTGAGCCTGCTAATACAGCGAGGCTGTAATGCAAAGCAAAAAGCTCACATGCTGCTGTGTGAGATGCAGATTTCTAAGCCAGGCGCCAGCGTTTCCTCCGGGCTGAGGGCAGCCCCATGGCCGATCACAAGGTGCTTGTGTCGGTGCTGATGCTTTGGAGAACGTAAATGTGCAGCAGGCAAGTTACAAACGCGAGGAGAAAGGCTCCGAGAGGCAGAGGGCTTTTGCATTTGTTCAGAGCTGTTCTCACCTCTTTGCATTGCCTAGGAGCAAGCCAGAGTGTGTCTGATGTATTTGGTGAACCAACTGGCCAACATGGAGCACTCCTTTCACCATATTCTCCTGCTGGAAATCAAGAACCTCACCGACACCTTCTCTGGCATCTTGGGCACGCAGAGCAGAGATATCTACCGCATGAGCAACAGCTTCACGGCCATAGCCAAGCTCCTGAGCCGGCAGCTGGAGCAGGACGGCGCCCCGCGAGCCAGGTAAACTCGTGCTCTTTGACCATAAAGCGCCGTTTCCGTGGCTGTGTGAGGAGGGAGAGGCAGACTCAGCTTATGTTAAGTGTACCTGGAGACTGGTAAGTGCAGAGCAGTTGCAAACATGTAGTAGAGACTGTCTTGGGGGAGTAACACAGATACATGCTCAAATGCAGATTTAGGATGAGCTGCACCAAGGCAGGGGGCTGGAGTTAAGGGATGCCAGTAAATTGTAGCTGTGCTGCAGGCCAGCATCACACGGCAGGATCTCGGAGCATCCCGCAGCAGAAACCCTGCCGTTGGGCAGTGAGCAACAGGCTTGCTTAAAAAAATGGAAAAATATTTTCAAACTTGTACAAAAAGATGTTCTGGTCACTCAGCTTTATAAGGATTTGTTTCTTAGGCATTGCTGCATTTGTCACAGTAAGAATATAAGTGTTATTTAGATATATGACACAGTAGTCCCTTTCAGTTAGGGAGAGCTTTATAATTAGCAATGTGTATCCTGAAATAGGTCAGGAGGACACAATGGTAGAGTAATTCTGTGAAGAAATTTAACACAGATGTCAGAAAACTCATAACCATGAAGGATAGCCTCGGAGACAGGCTCGTAGAGCTGGAGCCAAAACACTGAGGTCATTTGAGAAACAATTAGTTGGTATCCTGGAGAGAGTTAACAATGAAAAAAGAGAGGAGTCCTGACATACTGACTCATTTTAAAGGAAGGCCATAAGCCACGCACAAACTTCACCTGGTGGCAAAAATCTCAGCTGAAATACAGCCTCAGAACTCACTCTTTATTAAGTTTTATTGAAGATAGTGGAAAAATTTTAGGTCAAATGACATACATATTTGCCAAGCAAGTTCAACTAAATAGTGTGCCTGTTGTCACTTATTTAAGGGGGGCAGGAGAAAGGAAAATTGTCCTATATTATTGGAATGATTTATTATTGGAAGGATTTCATTAAAATTCTACTGACATATTTCCCTATTTCTGTCTAAAATCGTACTTTGTTAAGGACTTGCTTTGCTGAGGACTAGAAACTGCTTCACCTGCACGGGTGTGTGCTTACGTATCCAAAATGATCATTTGAGTGGAAAGTCTAGGGGAAAGAAGAGGGAGGAAATGATAACATTTCAGAGTCTTTTTTTTTTTTAAATGTCCTTATTTTCCTTCAGAAAAAACTCTGCTGGTTATACAAAGCATGAAGGGAAAGACTTTTTGCTTGTTTTAATTACATTTGCTTCTGAGTGAGGTGTTTGACCGTAACTATGTCTATAGGTGAATGAAAATGCAACTGTTGGATTTGAAACGTGATAGTTGCCATGGGGTTGAAGGCCAAACTCCGAACTAATGCAGAAGGAAGACCCAAAAAATGCACCAAAATCACCCCGGGGCTTCAGTGGAGTTGCTCAGACTTTAATGCATTTTAAGTAAGGACGGAGTTTGGCCTGAAGTCAGCAGTGGAAAGAATTCAGAATGAAAGGTGGCCACAGTGTGTTGTTGTTGTTGTGTTTTTTAACATTTCTTTGGGTAAATTGCTGCTTTTACCAGACAAGATAGTGCATGGGATAGAGCTGCTTGTGCCACACATCTGGTCCGAGCGTAGCCAGAGGTGATAGGAACAAAAACCTGCTGCTCTTTGATGATGATGGGGGTGACAAATCGCTGTGTGGGGCCGTTTCTGGCTGGAACGGTGTCCGCCTGGGTCTGGCAGCGGGGCCTGAATCCCTTCAAACCAGCAGCTCTAGGATTCCTCCTTATTTTCCATCTGCCCCTTCATTTCTCCTGCATCATCTGCCTGATCCTCTGGCTCTGGATCCCCGCGTGCCTCTAGCTACAACCCCTCCGTGCTCCCGGAACAGCTGCCGTGCGGAAGGTAGGTGCAGGGAAAGCCGAGGGGGTTCCTGCAGGGAATGAAGCAGGTCGGGGTCTCAGGGCACGTGGGGGCGAAAGGTGGCAGTTGGGGGACACGGAGGTGACACGCAGGAGCAGGAGCCTCCCTGCGCACGTCCTGGGGATGCAGCAGCACCCATCGCTCCGTGGAGGAGCAGGAAAGAGGAAAGGCTCCTTCGGACTCACGGCCTCCGCTTTTCCCAGCGGATCACGCTGCCCGCGCAAGGAAGCCAGGCAGGATTTGCATCTCTGGCAACGGAAGGATTTCCCACTATTTCAGTGGGCTGCAGATCAAACCCGTGGCATTTCAGCTGCTGTTGATAGCACTTTGAAAACATGGCTCAAAAGAATCAAAGTAAAACACTTTTTTTTTTTTTTTTTTTTCCACAATTACAGTTTTAGGTTTGCCTTTGATTTTACATTTCAGACCTATATCATAGTATCGATGACACCAGGCAAGAATAACTCAAGAGACAACAGTTTAGGCTCAAATAAGAGTTTCCCAATGTTTGGAGTTTCGTTTGACTTGCCCTAACGTAAGGGAGATGAGGCCAGACGCAGGCAGGGAGATAGAGTCGGCAGCTCCATAGCTGCCCTGCTGACTGAGCTGCACTGTTTTCTAAAGAGCAACTATTCAGCATATTTGTGCTGTGAAGGGAAAACAGGACTTGAAAATGTGTGGCTAGATTATAACCATTCCTTTCAGAATCGTATGTTTACATAAGAAGAAACTGATTTCTTCAGAGTGATTGCTGGCCTGGATTCCTTTGACACAGGGAATTTTGCATGCATGTAGTGGAGAGCATAATTAAAGCCATGTGATACTCTATTAGTATTGCCCCTTACTGTCACAAAATTGCAAGTTATTCAATCTCAGAGGTGTTTTGTAAGAAAAAACACAGAATTTTAATGGACTGATCCAACCTGGAAGTCTATTTGACCAGTTAAAGGAAGGGAAGGAGAGAAAGAAGGAAAATCCAGTGACACTTCCAAGCCCTCATTTTGGGTAAGAACAAAGCACAATAGACTCTGCCCGTTGTTATTCCCTTTAACGTAGGGACTGGATGAAATTATCCTTTCTCCTGGAAGAGGAGGGCAGGTCTGGCATATGGCTTCATTTAGTGCTCATTTGCCATTCATATGCCTTTCATTTTCCCTAGTATTTGTCCTCCTCTCAATCAGCATTTGTAGTGGTGAAGAGAGCTGTAGCAGTGTCTAAGACTTCCATGCATCCCTGAGGGACTGTGGGGTGATGTGAGAGGGACTGTGGGGTGACGTGACTGGGACTGTGGGGTGACGTGACTGTGCCCTTGGGGACCAGCGCAGGTCCCACGAGGGGGGTCAGCGCAGCCGGGCCTCGCTCTGCTCCGCGGCACCGCAGGCTGGAAGCCGGAGCAGGAGGGATGTGCCGGCCCCTTCGGGATGCGCTGGGTCACCTTCATGTGCTCTCTTGTGCTCCGCCATCCGTGTCCCTTGTCACCAGCTATTAAGGCTGTTACGGGTCCGCGTCAGGGTGACCTGCCCTTACAGAGCCTGTAAGCTGCATTGTGCTCAGCGCGAGGACACATCTTCAGTTGCGTGTGGCATCTCAGCCTTGAACGTGGCTGTGGGTTAGGGGCTAGTTGCATTCTTGTAGCTGTTTTTGAGGACTATTTGGAAGTTCTTAATAGGCTTCATAGCTGAGTTTTTGAGATTTCCGCTGTCCTTGAGAAGCAGTCTGTCTGTCCCAAAGGATCCTGCCTCTTGCTCCGCTCAAATCTGCGCGTACCTCGCAGTGGAGGAGGTGGCTGTGTCTGTTTGCTGAGCCCAGGGACGTGCACTTGCTCCGCTCGTGCCGCCTCCGCGCAGAGCTAACGCACTGGCCGCGGCCGGGTGTCTCCCACGGTTTGTGTTTGTGTTGCTTCTCGCCCGTTTGGAGCGCCCGGCTGCTGATGTTGTAGCAGAGCTGGGGGACCGAGGAAAAAGCCTTCAAGTTAAAGTGTCCCTCTTGACTCGCTTGCCTGGTAAGTCTCACCGGAGAGTTTAAAAGCAGAGGACTAGTGAGTGGCCGTAGCAGCACGGGGCTTTTGCAGGCCAGCTCTTCAGGATTGCACAATAGGTTTCTGCATCCTTTTCCTCCCAGAAACAGCCTGGGCCTTGGTGTAAGCTGATCCGACTCCAGCAACCTCAGCAATGTGCTAACCCCGTTTTGCCAAGATTTCAAACAATAGTTTGTTTTATTGTTGTTGGAAGGGGCGGCCGGCCGCGGGGCCCGCCAGGCTCCCCGTTGCGCGTGGGGTGGAGGTGCCGCGGGATGGTTCCCGTGGCCTTAGCCCTTCTGCTTCCTGGGAACGGGTGCTCTCTTGCCTGCAAAATCCATCCCTATCCCTTATCCTTGGGGTAAGGCTGTGAGTGGAGAAAGCTGGGGAGAAAGGTGCTGCTATAAAAGCCCTTTCTTACTCCAAATATCAGCGGGCCTTGCTGGTTTGGGTCTGCCATTCATAAACCCGATGGCTCCGTCAATGCGCTCTCTGTAGCCAGGGTTTATGTGCATGTATATGGATGTGGAGCAGTTATTTTGGTTAGTGCTTAGCTCCCACAAAGAGAGCACTGTTGAGAGGGATTTGGGAGTGACATTATTCTAATAAATTAAATCTCGTCCCACATCTCCAGAAAGATTTCTCAGTAAAGGTCACACTGAGGTTTTTTATTACAGAAGAATATCTTTTTTCAGAATGTTCTGCCGTGTTAATATATTGCCTAAATTAAAAACAAAACAGGACAAAACTTGCTAACTCTCTGGAGAAATATCCTGAACTTCCTTTATCAAAACAAATGGAAACGTGCATTTAGTGAGGCACTAGCCTTGGTGGTTGTTTTTCCAGCATTCTTTGTTTCCACAATTGGTGATTTGCAATATTTGGAAATTCTTAGTAGGCTTCCCAGCTGTGAGCAGGACTTGCTGAGATGCTGCTCATTTGTGGCTTTCCATATTCAGACGTTACAGATCTGGCCATTCAGAAGTTTGCTTCTAGGGGAAAAAAAGCAGAAACAAAACCAAAAAGTCTCTATCCAAAATTAGTCGGAAGCAAAATGAGCTTGTTTGAGAACTGTGGGTAGAATTAAAAAGAAATGACTACGTGTTGCAAACCCACCTAGTTCTGTAGGAACCTTCTGGCTCTGGTTGCTGCCCAGTCCGAATGAGCCTCATTTAGTGCCCGGCCATGGTTAGGATGCAATAGTTAGTTCCGCTTTGCGTTCCCGTGGGCAGCCGGATGCTGCGATCGCCGGGCGCTGGGAACTGGCAGCCAGAGCACAGGCTGCTCCCATCCGCAGCAGCCAACGCTGCTCCCGGCTTTCTTGGCCTTTCCCACCAGGCTCCCCTTCCTTTGGCCTAAAAACACACAAAATTTTGTGGTTTTGTCTTTTCCACCGTGTTCTCAAGTGAGAGAGCACAGGCGTTAGGCTTCTGGCCTGATATCCAGTGGTCCTGAGCCCCTGCGTGGGGCTGCTTGCATGCGTGGGCACCCGGCCACCGGCGTTTACGGGAGCTTCGCCTGCACGGCGCTCGGGTTTGGGAATTCTGCTTTGGGAAAGGTGACCTTGGCATCCAGTGTGGCTCCTCTGCCAGCCTGGGAGCATCTCCGGGCCTTCCAGGGCTTTGGACACGGGCCTGTTATCCTGGGACTCTCCTGCAAACCCTCCGCCTAGCCCAGAGTACAGGAATTCAGTAGAGGCTGCACATACTTTTGTGAGACTTTTAAAACCACAAACTCTTACAAACTCTGCAGTTAGCTCTGCTTTTCATTTATGAAAATAATGTCACAAGTCACTGTTCAGTAAGCCTGGAAGAAGGGCTTGAGCTCAGTGAAAAAAAACTTTTCTCCAAGAGATTTTTCCCACAGGGCTGTCAGGAAAAAGCTGGTTTTTACCTAGGCAGATAGAGCACATGCAACTTGCAGTGATTTCAGAGAGGTTCCCTGTTTCTGATCTGGGTGTCAGAGACATTGAGCTAAAGGATGTTTCTGAAAATGATTAATCAGCTGCTAAGAAAATCTCTGCTGAAACATAATTATTTTACCGGATATGTTTTGTGGGTCAGAGGCTGAAATGCAGTGTCAGCATCGCCCTGAGCAGAGTGTACCAGAGCTAAAGCTTTGCTTTTTACTTCCCTAGGACAGAAAGTGATGCCGAAACGAAGCCTGCGGTACCATTGGAGGATTTAAAGTCTGTTATGCACGGAAAAGAAGAAGATGAAAAGCTGCAAGTCAAAATCCAGGCTTTTGAAGAAAAAATAAGTGTTGACAACAATACTCCTGGCTCCGTGCGCCGATACAGTTTAGGGCAGGTTTCTAAAGAAGAAAGGAAGGATATGAGATTTAACAGGTATGGTTCTGCAAAACGCATGAGTGCTTTTCCTGAATGTCAGTTTTGTAACGAAACTTTATCCAAACATTGAGAGATCAGTCCTGTTGGGTAATACCTCTGGGCATCGTAACTCTAATTCTGACCGAGTCTTACATGCATGAATTTAAAGGCTGGATAAAATCTTTCTAAATTATTTACTTAACCTTTTCTGTGCCCCAAATTAGCATGAGGAATAGGAAATAAGGAAAGCTACAGAAAATGCTAGAAATGCTACCCCTCTCTTGGGTGTTTTTGCTAGCAAAATATATCAGACATTTGAGTCAACGTTTTTATCGTACGCGCAGCATTCGTTAGGCCACTGGGGCACCCCAGGTTCACAGAGGCGGTTCCTCTTCCCGCTGTAGAACTTCCCACATGGCATCTGCAGCATTCCTGCTGTCCCGATAACAGGAGCTCGGATGGGACATTGCCACTCATGTCCTGCTCCCCTCTCCAGTGCAGCCCAGATGTTCCTGGCCCCAGCTGTGTCTGCCAGCACACACGCCAGGCCCACAGGGTCCCGGCCCCCTGTGCCTTGGAGCAAGGAGATCCCTTTGGAAAAAGGGATGCCGAGAAAAGGGCGGGTGGGGAGAAATGCCTTTCCGTGGATATTCACCCACGCTTAGCATTTCACACAGCTCTTCAAACCGGTGCAAATCAAAATGTCTTAATCACGTCTAGCCTTCCTACTCACTATACAGGGACTTTAATTTTATGCTCAGCATATAGGGGAGCTGGAGGCTGAATCTTATTTCAGGTTACGTTCAGTTAAATTGCTGCTGGATAGCATTTTTATGAAGTGATCAATAAAGCACATAATCCAGTGCTGTGTTTGTTAAGTTCCCTACAGATAGCTCGACTGGTTCCTCCCGTGGCATGCAGATGTTGGGATATATGCTTGTTAAATCTGTGGCTTGAGTTTTGCTATAGGAAATGTAGGTTTATGAAAAGGTATTTGCCTCTAGCTAAATTAGCCCTGCATTCTGCTCTGAAACAGCTGCATGGATGTAACTTGGGAGAGGGTGTGTGCAGGTGATGTTTCTGTCTGATTGCTCAGCACGCTCTGTTGTCTTACCTCTGTTGCAAACCAGTTCTCCTCTCCTTAACACTTTCCAGATCCAAAAGTCTCGCTTTGCATGCAGTCCGCTTGAAGGGGGCAAGCATGGACAGTGGACAAGACCAGGAGAATGGGGACATAAGTGCTGGTATCTCCTTCACCGAGATCTACATTAGCCAAGAAAATGATAAATTGCCTTTTAGCGTGGATACTGAAGAAGTGCAACTGGGAAATTCTTTGGTTTCCCACCAAAGTATCGATTGCACAGAATCGGAAAATCTGCCAGAGACTGCTAAAGAAAAGGTCCAAGAAGGAAGTACAGAGACAATAGAGAGTCCTGTGGAATACCAGGATAAGCTCTACTTGCACTTGAAGGAAAACCTGGGCAAAGTGAAAGCCTATGTCACGGAGATGGGGAGGAAAATTCCCATCCCTGATCAGTGTGTTATTGAAGGTAAGCAGGCTGGGATATTTAGATTTTTAAGGACTTTAATATGATGGTGAAAGTCATTTCACGGAGTTCAGGAAAACGGACAACCAAGATCCTCTGGCACATGAGTGCTCGTGATGGGGAGGTACGTTGCTCTTATACAACAATGTCATTTATGAGTAGCAGCTTTTTTTAAAACCTCCCAAAACTCTTATATTTTGCCTTCAGAGACGTAGTGCAGCCTCATATATTCTGTATTGCCCTGACCATGACCACAAAGAGGTTTTTTTTTTTTGGGCTGTCATACAGGGAACCTGAACAGAACCCTCCAGTAAAGAGCCGTGCCCTGTGTCAGAGCGAGCTAAAGAGGCAGACTTGTTAGCTCGGGTTGTCAAAACCCGGGGGCAGTCTGCATGTTGGGTGCTGGGGGTATGTGGCCATGAGCCAGAACCAGACCGGCATTAAATGGGCTTGGAAAGCTGGAGTCCGACATGCCATGGTTTGGACTTGGTCAGGTAGACATGAGAGAGGGATTTCCAGCATGTGCTAATGCTTAACCTTCCTCCTTCACCTCCTGGGTCAGCCCACCAGCTCTGGGTCTCCTGCTTCATTAACATGATACTGCTGAGTCAGTTGACTTACCAGAATCAGTGTGCGCCAGAGATGGTGCAGGTCAAGGATCTCAGTTCCACATATCCCAGCCTGATAAAAAGCTCCTGGAAGGCACCAGAATGAGAAGCCCGGTGCCCTGTTTTGAGTTGGAGTGTCCCTCACCTCTTCCCGGAGGTTCTTTAATGATCTCTGCTTTTGTCAGCGTTGGATACTTATTTTCAAATGTGTGAAAGCTAATTAGGAGGGGCAGCAGGATGGATCTTTGTAACTCTTCTCCAGAGCAGTAGTATTTAGGCTGGGTTGTGAGATTTTCTTACACTGAACAGCAATCACTTCAACAGGAATCTGTGTGCAGGTAACCACTTGGTGGGAGATGTCAGCAGTTTACAGTCCAACTGCTTGCTCTTCACATAAAGAGTAGCTGAATCAAAAATTACCTTAATTTCCAGTCACTTATATCGCCTCTTAATATTACAAGAAATAGTCCCTCTGCCCATCAAGCATCTATTTTAAAAGTTTATTTTGTGCAGAAATTTCTGCGAAAAATGTCAATTTATCTCAGATTTTTGAATGTCAGTTTATTATTTGGAATAGCTGTTTGGTAGAATTAGTTGTGTAACTTCTGCTGCATAAAATTACACGGGAAACTTGAGACTGATCTCACTTGGAGAGCTGAATGCTTTGGCCTTGCTAAAATTGAATATAAGATGCTGAATATTTTAAAATATATTGCTCAGCTTCCTTTCTAAAGCACCTAGTATGCTTGTGCTGTAAGCATATAGCTATTTCAACATTCATTCAAGCTATTGTAATTTCCTGGAAGTTCTCAGCTAGCATTCTTAGGGAAATTCTTGGAGTAAGGACACATGTGCAGAACATAAAATTTAGGTGACTCATTCTGCTGTGCTGGGAGCAACGCAGCCCGTGCCGTTGCGCAGGGCCGTCGCTGTCAGGGCTTCACGTGTTGCACAAACCCCTCCCGAGCGTGTCCTTGCTGCACTGCGCCGAGCGCTGCACCGTGTCGAGCCTCCTGCTAGCGTGTCTGCTTCGCTTTTGAAAGAAGATGGCTAGAAAATACGGAGCTGTGAAAACCAGGAATTTGCAGCAGGTTTTCCAGGTACGGGATTACAGAATCACGGGTGACATTTAGTCCCATGCTGAGCAGCAGGAAAAAGCAAAGCAAAGTAGACAAGAATTACTAGGAGAAAATAGAGACATCATTATAACATCATTACATCTTCTCTAAATTAATTGAGGTCTGAATGCCGAAGGACAAAGTAGACCTGTCACAGGGAAGGGTCACAAGGCTAATGGGAACTTCCATGGGAGGAGAAATGAAATGTCCTGGGGCTGCCCGGTCTGGCAAGGGGTGTCTGAAGTGCTGTGCCCGTGAGGGGTGAGCGGGGGGCAGCAGCTCCTGGCCCTGCCTCTGCAGCTGCTCCAGAGGATCCAGCGGAGCTGTCAGGAGGCAAGTGCAGAACACAAGGTAGGTATCGCTTAATGGGGGATTAAACAGCAGAGCTTAGTGCCTCAGGTCGTTATGGAAGCTGGAAATGCACCTGGTCTCAGACGTGATGAGGCAGATTCAGGGATTTGGACACACAGGGGTGATTAAAAATGGTACCACCCTTGATTCTGGGAGTGCCTGGGCCACATCGCAGCGTGGGGCTGTGACAGCAGCAGAAGGGAAATGATTGCTGTGGGTTCACTCTGTTCTTACACTCGCTTGAGCTTCCCTTCCATCCAGTGCTAGCTGAATCCTGGTCGAGTTTCCTGCCTGGAGGCAGCGTTGCCGTTGCAGCCTTCGTCTGCAAGGCGGCCACTGCAGGGCAGCTGCCTATGGAGTGACAGCCTTTTATTTGATCCCTTGCGTGTTGGAGAACGTGCCCTGCAGGTATCCTGCAAGAACGTGGAAGGAAACAGGGGGAAGGCAAGGAGGGTACTCAAAGGTCAAGGAAACATTGGGAGGAATATTGAAGATATTGGGTTTCTTCACCAAAAAAGGAGAAAACTCAAAGGGCATGATCAGAGGTTTCAGTTGTGTGCAAGACTGGGAGAGGAGTAGCCTGTTCTGGACAAGATCAGAAACAGTGATCTCCAATTCTAAGAAAGATTCAGCTCAAACGGCAGAAAAAGCTTCTCAGATGGACTGACAGGCGCGCGATGCCCAAGGAGGACGCGGAGGACTTCGAAAAGCGCCTTGAACCCAAGTCTGTCGGGGCTGACACTGGCAAAACAAGGCTTGTAGGTCTGACACGAATGAGGAGGAGTTAGTGTCCCACCACATACATTTTTTTCTTTTTTTCCCAAATACATTAGCTGGTTTAATAACACATTTCCCTTCTCAACCCTGCCTTGCTTGATCCTTAGACCATCATTCAGCTCTGCTGCTGCTACAACTGGAACGTCCTGGATATTTATGACTGTGAGCAGGGGTAAGGGACAGACCTGATGACCCCCTGAGTCCCCGCGTGTCTTTGATTACATCCTGTGCTCCGTAACATTGTCTATATTTTGCACAATTTTCCTTTTTGCTATTGATTCAGACATTTGGGATATATTTCATGGCCCTTGCAAAATATTTTTGCTTGACGAGGTGTGTTTTGCAGTCTCCTTGTTGATTTATAAGGTCATTCGGGGCTGTTTCTCCATCTCTATGGGCTATAATACTTTTTCATACCACATTTCAAAATTTATGTATGACTGAGTTGAGAGATAGTTTTTACAGGTTAAAAACTGCGAGGGTGGATCCATGGCGAGTCTAAGTCATCAGTCAGCAACAGTTTATCTGTAGGTACCTCTGGACGCTTTGAAAAATTGCTGTGACCCGAGGGCTGTTGTCCCATTCGGTATTTAGTATTTCAGATTGCGTGTGCCTCGGGCAGGAGCAGGTTGGGAACTGGGGCAGATCCCTTCTCCCTCTCCAGTTATGTCCCCTCTTTATATGGGTGAGAGAAAATGGTACCATTAATGCTTAGAATTAATGCCTTGGAACTGGCAGGAGGAGCAAGTGAGCCACCAGAAAGACAACATTTAATAACATACGTATGCAGAAGATACGGAAGGGTTTGCACATCTAGCCTGCCTGACCCCTCCTGCAAAGACTAGAGCTGTGGGACATATAAAGTGTCACTCAATTCATGGTCACTGAAGCCACATCAGAAGCAATTCCCAAAGGCAGCGCCTGAATATGCAGTGAAAAATAATATTATAATCGCGTTGTAGTGGCAAGTCATTCCTGCCTCCTTGTCGCTCTATAGGAAGAAATATAAACAGCAAACAGTTTATAGGATTAATGACAGGGCTCTGCAAGAGGAGGCAGCGGCGGCGGCTGTGCAAACAGGTTGCAGCGTCCTGGCCTGAAATCTGGTTGCTATTACGTTTCGTGCTGTACTGAGAGATAATTGGGGCCACATGATGAAGTAGATGGAAAAGATCCCTGCTCCCCTGCAGTGCCTGCCCCTGATAAATGTAAGCATTCCATAAGGCAAGGCCTGATGCAGAACAGATGGGCCCCTGCTCGTGCGCCGCGGCCGCGGAGCTGCCCGGCCTCGGGCCGCCGTTTCCAGGAATCAACTCGGGTTTTGCTCCGCCAAAAACTATTAGTTGGCATTTTATTATATAGAACTGGTATTAGCTTTCAAATTCGTCCCAAATGTGAGAATACACCGCGAAAATGGAAGTGCTAATTCAGAGTGATGAGCCTCTTTGCAGTGGTCTGGATCACCAAATTCCAGAGAAATTCCCAACTCAGCAGGGAGAGTAATAGGAACATGGACACACTCATAACTTGCAGCCCTCTCATACGAGAGAGCAGCAATTTATGTGCCTTTTACACCTAATTTGGAAGCATCAGTTTAAATATTGAGAAATAATCTGATCCGCAGATACATTTATGTGGTCGTTGATTTCCTTTGAGGCTTTATCATCGCTCTCCTGGGGGGAAAAATAATAATAACAAACCTAAGAGCTTTTACTTCTGTGATTCCATAGGTGAAGTTTCTGCCGGCACTTTCCCAGCGAGCAGGACCTTTCTGCTGTGACCGCTGGGTCTAGCCCCTCTCCTTGGCTTAAAAATCAGAGAGAAATACAGCTTTCACCTGGAGAGCATTTGATGCAGGGAATGAGTCCAAGGGGCAAGGTTGGGAGATGGAGCCCCTGCAACCCCGTTGCGGTCACAGCCCCGCCAGAAACACGGGGATTTGGTGGCAGTGAGGTCTCGTAGTCTCAGCTGTGGCACACACAGTAAGCTGCCAGATTGCAGGGTCAAAATCAAAACAAAAAAAATGATGTTTCTTGAAGCTAAATGCTTTAAATTTACTCTTTTGCCCCCTCCTATAAATGTGTCTATATTTTGCATACTCATCTTTAACTGAGGAGATCAGGCCAAGGAAACTGAGGAAGCCTAAATGGCTTGAGAGTGGGATTTGAAAAGTTGTCGCCATTTCTTACCATCTACTTACGTGTTTATGGTTCATTTTGAAAACTTACGGGAATACTTTTACTCCTATTGGGAAATTTTATTAAAAGTAAAGGCTGACCTGTGCAAAGCAAACAATGCCCAGAACGCTGCCCAAAGCCGTGGCTGCGGTACTGCTGCCTGCGCCAGCGTGTCGAAACGCGCGAGCGGCGGCCGCGGGCGGGTTCCCGCGCTCGTGGTTTGTCTTTCCCCAAGCACGCCCCCTGAGCAGGTAATTTAGGAATTCCAGCCTCTTTTCCCCCATTCTTGCAGAAGAACAAGTTGGTGCTCGTTATTTCGGTACGAGTTTGAGAGTTGCCAACGGGCGCGTTGGGAAGCGTTCCGTGAGCGCGAGCTGGGTTTCCTTGGGAGCCTGGGGAGTCTCTCAGATCTGGGGCAATAGGGGATTTGGGGATATAAAATCTGAGCTCTAGCATGTCTCGTTTAGCGTTTGCTCCCGTGTGTGTGCACGTGGTTTTATTGGGCTTCCCACCTAATAAAAGCGCTTTGCAGCGGGGCTGGCGGCGCGTCCCGGGGCGCAGCGGCGCTGACGGCGTCCGGAGCCGCCGCCTCCCTGCCGTGCGGAGCAGTGCGGCTCCTGCTCCGCCGCCAAACGGGGCGCAGGAACGCTAGATTCTGCCCCTAATTCTCCCCAGGAGAGCAGGAGCTCCCGGGGGTGCGGCGGGGGCCTCACACCGCCTTGTTGCCCCCTTTGCTTCCAGGGTAGCGTCTCCCGACGTACTGCCAGGTACAAGGAACTTCCCTGGTGCAAGGAAAACAAATACATCCATCGCCCAGCTCCGCGAGCTGGCGCTCCCCAGCTCGCCAGGCAGCTCACTCTCCGCTCCCTGTGCGATTTCCCCCTGCGTTTGAAGCTTCTCTGAGCGCGGTTAGTATAGAAGTGCTATTAGAGTGACAAATGCAATGGTAGAAGTAGCGTTTCCATGATCCTAATGCAGGTCAGATGGGACCGGCTGCTAACGCGGAGTTGGCTTGGACACCCCGCTTCACATTTGCTTTCTGCTTGTGGAAGTGACAATAGGTTCTGAAGCACAAAGCTGGTTCTAAAGGCCGCAAATGTGTAGCTTAAATGTGAGCAGCGCAATAAGCTTAATGTCCTCAGGGAAATTAGTTAATTTTTTCCTTCCTTTCTCCCTTGCATACTTTTGACCAATTATTTTAAAGAGTTGCAGATCCATCTTTGCTGTAATTTGGACTTTGTTGCTTTAAATCACATCAAAAGAATCTTAAGTCAACATTGAATTACGGGCACTTGCCAGAATTTGCTCTGTGCTGGGGAAGCTGCTGTTGACTTTTGTTGACAGGACTCTCGTATGCGCTGTATCTCGCTGCTTTCCTGGAAGCTCCTCCGGAGCTAAATCCATCTTCCTTTCCATGAGGAAGTCGGAGCAAGCGGTTCCGCGCTTCCACGGTGGGGATTCCGCGGGGATCCGGGAAGCGCGGCCGTCTGCAGCCTGCGGCCAGGGCTGCTTCCCGCTCCCTTTCCCCCGGGCTTGTCCCCGCTTCACACGCTGCTGCGAAGGCTGAGCGTGGAGAGGCGGGACCGGGGCGCACGGTGGGGTCCTGGCTGTGCTCCTCGCCTCCAAACTGCTCCTGGCACCCGAGGGATCCCACAGGATCCCTGCGCTGTCCAGCTGGATACGTCTTGTTCGTCCCCTCCTGATGTTTACATCAGCAGCTTTGTGCAATGCTGAAGCGTTTTCCTCACTTACGCGTGTGTTTTCCTGTAACGGGAATTGAGTTTTTTCCCTGTCTTATTCCAGCCTGCCAGTGATTCACTGTCCTGCTCTCCAGCAGCTGGGTTGCTGCCCTGTCCTGGCAGAGCCCCGGACCTGCTCCCCGCTGAGAGCGGGTGCCAGGGCCGGGCTCTGGCGTCTGGCCTGCAAGTCCTGAATCCCACAGGTGCAAATCGGGGCAAATCGGGCCGAGCTGCCCTCGCGCTGCTCCGTCGGCGCTGCTCCGTCGGCGCTGCTCCGTCGGCGCTGCTCCGTCGGCGCTGCTCCGTCGGCGCTGCTCCGTCGGCGCTGCTCCGTCGGCGCTGCTCCGTCGGCGCTGCTCCGTCGGCGCTGCTCCGTCGGCGCTGCTCCGTCGGCGCTGCTCCGTCGGCGCTGCTCCGTCGGCGCTGCTCCGTCGGCGCCGCTCCAGTGCCCCAGAGCGGCCCGGCCTGCAGAGGGTCCGTGTGCTTCGTATCGCCCTGCAACAAGGGGCTGGGGAAAGCACACAGCGTAGCCTGCTTAAAGCTCAGCTGTTCTCCAGTGTGTGTGTTCCAGCAAAGCAAAAAAGGCATCTTAAAGTACCTGTTGTGTTGGGTGTATACTGGAAGGTCATTTATATATGTATCGTGTATATGATCATATGTATACATATGTCTGTATGTATATGTGTGTATCCTGTGAACAACCTCCTTGGAGGCATCGCTTAGGATTTGTGCTTTAATAGGGCTCGTGGTCTAAGGAGCCACTTCAAATTCCCCAAGTCCTCCTTAGCCCTTCGTTGTCAGGTTGCTGGTTTGCATAGCTGGGATTAACTCAGTTTTTCCCCACGGTTCCTGTTCCAAAACCCATGGATTTTATGCCCTTTTTCCTGCTAAGCAGAGCAGGGGGTGGCACGTTGCGTGTGGGGGTCACGTTTCTGTGGTCTGCGTCTAAGCTCGTTTTCTTTCCCAATTACTGCTCAGTGCAGCAGAATTGGGCAGGACTCTCCAAAGTGCTCGGGGCTGTCTCCAGAGCTGTCCTCAGCTCAGGTCTTGTTGTCCTGTTCTGCTCGGCACCGTTCGGATGCAGCCCCTGCAGTGCGCTCCGAGGAGGGTTCTGCTTTAACCACCCTGCTTTACCCCTGACTGAGAGTTATGTGAGAGCTTCTTAAAAAGAAGGTAAGTGCTAAGGCCTGATCGTGCGGTCTTGCACCTTCTGCCTTGGAGCAGGAATTACAGCAATACAGAATGTAAAGTTTACCCAGAATCTTTTATTTGTGCCTGATAAATGGGAGGATGGTTGGGCACCAGCAAATACACCACTGGGAGGAATATATCCGCAAGCACCGCGTGATTGCACATGCATTAGCTTAGATTTATCGATCTCTTTTATGTAGCTGATTTTAATATTATGTGTGTTTATTTTTAGATACTGTTAGAAGTTGCGTGGCCAAGTTGTTCTTCAGCTGTCCCCTGAAGGGCCATTACTGCCTGTACAGTAAATCCAGCTTTACCCTCGTCAGCCGGCAGCCTCCGCTGTGGATCCACATCATGTTTCTCTTTCAGCAGGTGTGTGCAATACAAAGGAGTGGCACCTCCAGATTGTTAATGTTACACTTAGGGGGAAAAAAGTGTTTTAATAGCTAATCTGTTTAAATATGCTTATAATCTAGTGCTGTAATGCGAATTTTTTGACCCACATGATTTCTTAGGAAGTGGACAGGTTTATTATTAAACTTGTGACCGAAAGAGCACATTACATTAGGCTGATGTGATTTTGCAATTTTGGGGGAATTTCTATTAAATATAGCAGCTTGAAAGGGTTTGCAGAGTCTGAAAAAGAAGCAGTGTGGGACCAAACCTCGTTGTCCTTTCTCTGGCAGAGCTTCCAGCAGGCTCAAGGTGCAGCCCTTTTCCTTCACAAATACACAGAAAATTTGCAGTTGTTTTTTTGTGGTAGCAGAACCAAAGTCCTTAGATTCCAGCCCAAGGACAAGCTGGAAACACCACGGTTCGGTTTTGTGTCTTTGCAAACAGGCTGCAGATGCAGCATTTCCTCTATGCTCCTTTATGGAAAGGAGTGTTCAACCTTGCTGCGCATCCGGGTGCATTCAGTGCAGGGTAATTTATGCTTCTCCTTTGTTTGAAATCCCCAAGCTTTTATGTCCTGGAAATATAACTATGATTAAATTAAATGCAATGTGCTAAATTCAGCCCTGGGATATAGAATCTGTGAAATTGCACAAGAGATAAATTTGACATAAAATATCTTTATAGTGTGTTAATAAGAAGTTAAATGAAAGGCTAGTGATAAAAACGTAGCTTTCAGCAGATTTGTCATAGATTCATAGTCAAAAGAATAACATATGATTTCAAAGGATTTCCATGCAAGTTACCATATTTCTATTCATCTTTTTGCCAGCTGCTGTACCTCATCTTTGACATAGCTTTTCCGTTCCTACATTGCAGGAGGTTTTTTCTTTCAGGTGTCCAGAGCAGACCCCTAATTTCACCACATTGCTTTCCATTTAACTTTACAAATATTAGTGCCTAGCTACCTCGTGTTTGGCGGTGCTGGGGTGGAAGGTGTGAAGCTGCAGATCATCAGATCATTCAGCAGAGCAGCTTTTGGCCACGGGCAAGGGGAGGATGTTCCCCTTGAGGTCTGTGTGGAGGGACATCCACAGCTTCAATTCTTGCAGCTAAATGGTTATTAACAAGAGGAGCAGAGGGGAAACAAGGGCAGACCTCAGGGAGAGGATTCTGCAAGGTGATATTTGATTTCACAGATTTGTTGGTTAAAATCCTGCTCCTCTGGCCCCTGGTTCATGGTTTAGTCTCTGCTGCCGGGTGCTTACAGAAGCCAGCACTACTAACATTGTGTTAAGACAGCGTTTAAACGCAAACACAACATGCAATTGTTGTGCCTGGTAGTAGTTGATGTACATCCTCCAGTGAGCCAGGAATCTTAAGGATATGTAATGCACAATGAAAATACCCCCCTAAGAGCCAAGGAAATATCTGGGGGTTTATCTAGTTGTGTGCATATGGATCTGTTGTCACTCCTCACAGAGAAATGAACTCACTCCTCGTTACTTTGCATGACTGTCCCGTTATGAAATAAGCACAAGATGCTGTTTGTTAATGACCACGTGAAAAAGGCCTGAAGTGCTGTTCTCAACACCTTCCGCAGAGCCTGTTTGCAGAGCCCTTGTCCACACAGAGCAGTCCCGTGCAGGTCCTGAAGGCCCTGTGGGAGAAGACGCAGCTCAAGGGGACGCACAGCTTCGAAACGGCCATGATCCAGTGCACGTTTCCACACCAGAAGGTAAGCGATTTTTCTCTGAAAGAAAGTAAGCGTGGCAGAAGACTTTTGCACTGGACTTTAGAGCTGTTCTACAAAGATCTTTTCAAGAGCTATAACAAATCTTTACTGTACTCATACAGTGAAAAACAAACCTTTCTTTCCCTTGTCCTGCCTTCTTCTCCCCCGCCTTCTTTTTCCTTGTTTCTTTTCTTTTTCTTAATTTCTTTTCTCTTTCCTGGTTTCTGCTCCTCTCTCTCTCTCTCTCTCAGTGCATCTAAAGCTGTGCAAGTCATAAAGTCCTCAGCAATGAGGAATTAGGCCCAATCTCATTGCCAGTAATGACAGTGGCATTTTTATGCTGACTTAAATTAAGGAGAATCGGTCAACATCTCCTCCTTGCTTCTGCATATCAGCTTACTTGAGAATCAATAAATAAATACACGAGCTGCTCTTCCAGTGCAGCATTTCCAACAAAAACGATAACTGCAGTGGCCAAAAGACAACGAGCAGGAGCTGAACGTTGAAGGCTGTCCAGCCTGTCCTCTGATCCCTCCTACACACGGGATTGTTCCTCGAGTGCTCCATGTGCTGCCCACGCGGCTCTTTTCCTGCTCACACCAGCGGTTTCCAGCTCTCGAATGAGCTGCCACTCTGGGCTGCTTGGCAGCCGCTTGGAGAGGCACCTAGTTCAACACAGAGCTGGGTTTGTGGGAGCGAGGGTGTGCACGTGCACCATTAGTTACCCCCATCCGTTTAAAAGCTTACTGGTTCAAAGCTGTTTACTGTCTCAAGGATTTTAGGGAATGCTATTTCAAAGCTATTAATCGGGCTTCTTGGAAGAGAGCGCTGTAGGTCTGTGAAACAAATATCTATTTATTCCCAAACATCTCCATCCAGCTAAATTGGATGAAATGAATTGTCAAACATGATTTTAAAATATTTTCTCTCGGAATATTTTAAGCATAAAAAACGTCTGACTGAATAAGATTAATTTACTAAGGTTATGGCTGATTTGAAAGCAGGGGTTTTGCTAAAAACACCTTCTGAAACTCGAAGATAATTCTGCGTTGAACTGGGAACTCCTGCTGTGACTTGCAATGGGAATAGGGGGGTCCCCAGATCTGAGCCCCAGCTTAGGGGCCAGTTACACTTCAACGTGTTGAAGCTTGCACTAAGGATTTTAGCTGCTTGTGAAATCCGAGCCTGAGTCATCTGAAGGCATTAGGACTGTCTTGCTGCTTAATAGTGGCTTAACTTGAGACCACGCCAAAAGCTGCTAGTCGAAAGTCAGAGCTGGATGAGTGTGGAAGAGTTTGGGTGAATAAAGAGCTTAGAAAAGAACATTTCTTCATGGGTAGCATTAGATGGAGTACATCATACATAGAAATTCTGCAAAATACGTCCCGCACCCTGGAAATGTGATTACTCTCCAGAGTCTCGGTTGCATAATCCTCCTACTGTTCAGATACTAGCGTTTGGCCTATTTTGGGAAGTTTCATCATTTTGTGACAGTAAGAGTATCTTTGAGTTCCCAAAATAGTTGAGCTAGAAAATGCGATCCTGATCTTTCCTGATTTGGTGAATTAAGTGGCGAGCAGAAGTTTGGAAGCTCTGGGCGCTGCAGATCACGTAACGTCCTTCAGACGCGCGGCCGAGTCGACGTGCCGTGTCTGACACGTTCTCTGTTGCCTCTAGCAAAACTTCACCGAGTTTACTCGGAAAAGCCCCACTGAGTTTCCTGGGAGCAAGACTGAGGTCACTGGAAGGAAAACTTCTTTTAACTTTTACGCTGCCCAAAAGCACTAGTTAGAGGAGCCTTTGGCAGAAGATTCCCAACATCACTTAGTAGTGATTTTGCTGGACAGAAGCTTCTGCAGTCATTTGAATTTTAAGCTCTTCCTGTTATTAGTGGAGATTAAAATACTACAAATGATTTGCAAAATAATTGTAGTTAATATTATTCCTCTTCCACTAGTGCACAAAGCAAAACTGTAAATGTGTGGTTATCTTGTTAAATGTCATACTTACCTCTTCATAGAAATGTTTCTGAAATGTGTTGATGTAAATGCAGTGTCAAAGTTCTGTATTATATTCAAATTGTATGAGTCACATTCCAGTACCTTATCAGGGAACTTCTGTGCCCGACAAGCACATGGGGCAAGTCGGGTGTAGCCCTGCAGAAGGGAACAGGAACCACAGGCAGCCAAGATGAGAATTACTGCTCTGCAATTGCTCCATGGTTGCCCTGTGACACTGGGAATTTGCACTTTTTTATAATTTAGTAAAGCATTTTGCAAACCTGGAGAAGAATATATTGCATCAATGAGTTATTCCAAGCTAAATTCTGAGAAGTATTTCCAGATTTACATCACTGTAACGGATCTTTGGATCTGGCCTGAGTATGTGTGTGCAAGGAATTTGCGATGAATACCTAGCTTATAGAAGGAATGTCATGTATCACTGTGCAGTACGCTCCTGCCACAAAAAATATTTATACTACACTGCTTAAAACGTGCCAGGAGTAAAGCATTTCCAGATGTACATCTTCACAGATTTCCGTTCAGTTGCTTCATAGCTCTTTATCAAAGTACACGCAGGCTGCATTATAAAAACTAAGCTGGTTTGGAGCTCGTAGCAGAATTCCTTGTGTTGACTCATGCTGTGTCAGAAGGGAGACAGGGTGACTACTTTATGAGCCCCAGGCCGGCCTGTTGTTGCGGAGCCTTGCGAGGGAAGAATTCACATTCTGAAGCCATTGTTAGTTCTGTCCTCTTGTCTTTGCTCGGCTGACGCAGCACAAAAGTGCCACACTTTCACAATGGAGACGCTGGTATTTTTGAGTTGATCATAAGGATGAGATAAATCGCCCCTCCTTGAGTTGACTTTTACCATGCAGCCCCCTCTTCCTAAAACAAGCGGCTGATTTCAGGTTATTTCCACTGCTACAGAGTGGAAAGGTAAGAGTAGGAACGATTGTTGTGTTGGGCTTTCAACACATATTTGCCTTTCTTTTGATCTGCTGATCACACCACTGACTCACTGCAGCAGCTAAGGAGATTTTTCTCAGGATGGAGAGGTGCCTGGAGGTTTCTTTGATTCATCTGTTCTTGGAGTGCCCAGGCCAGCTGCACTCAGAGCAAACCCCTCATCGTTCTGTCCATGTCGTGTCCTCCCAGAGCCCCAAACCAAGGGAGAGCAGAGGCAGGGCACATCAGGACAGAGCACGTTCTTGGCCACGGCTGTGGCACCTTTCCTTGTCCAGGGAGCTTCTTCATCCAGAACCTAGAGTGGGAAGGAGACTGAGAAGCTGGAGAGCTGCCTGGCTCTTCTGCTGTCCCATGGAGTCACCAGCCACGAGTCCCAAGCAGTGTTTGGTGTTCCCGGTCGCTGTCTGCGATCTGCCTTTGGGCAGATCCCTTTGGAAAGAAGGGTGAAGGTGCCATGGTGTGGTTTTACTGGCAGTTTCCAGCATGGGGCAGAGCAGCCTGTGCAAACGCACCGGCCCCGTGCACGCGCTCCTGGAGAGGGAGCCTGAAGCCTCCGTGCAGCCGGGGCCGGCCGGCGTGAGGGACTGCACGAGCGGGTGGGAAGGCTCCTGCAGCAGGAGCCCTGACTCCGCAGCGCGGAGCACGGCGAGCGGCCCGACGCTGAGGGGGAGCCAGAGGAGCAGCGTGGGCTCCTGCTGCGTGTGGAGCCTGGGAGCAAGGAGAGCGGCTCCCCTCCAAGGAGGACATCTCGAGGGTGCTCTTGCTTAAAGCGTCGGTGTGGAGGGTCTGGGGTGTTCACCGAGCCAAGGCAGCTTCAAGGGTCGCCAGGTTTTTCTCCCCCTTCTCCTGTGAGTTCTGCCGCCCCGGGCGGAGCTGGCAGCGTGGGCCATGGCGAGGCTCTTTGGGCACTTCCGTGGGCACGGCGGAGTGAAGCGACGCTGCTGCAGGGAGGGCTGCAGCGGGGCAGGGCGGCCGCCTCGCGCCCCTCCGCGTCTCGGGAAAAGAGCCGCTCCCTGCGCGGGTCCCAGGCCGGGGAGGCGAGCGCGGTGCCCCAGGGCCTCTCCTCGGGGCCACGGGCTTCTCCCCTCTCTCATTCTGTACGTGTTTTGAAACAAGCACACATGGAACAGGCCTGGATCAGACACCTCTGTCCTTTGTGCAGTCTTGTTCCACGGGTTGAACTAATGTCCCTGGCAGGAGGAGGGTTTTTTTTTCCATTTGCTGTGTGTTCTGTGTGAACCCGTGTTTTCTTTGGGCTGCCGCACGCGGGTTGCAGGAGCTCAGCAGTCCCCACGCAGGGACCTTGGCAGCCTCCGAGTGCCCGAGGGTCGTTTAACTGGGCTCTTTGCTTCGGTGCCAGGTCAGAGCCCCTTTTAAAATTCAATAGCTGGGTTTAGATTACCCTGAATTATGCAGTGTTATTAGTTGTCCGAGAGCATGCACCATCTTTTCCGTGCTTGCAGCTGCTGGTGTCGTTTCTATAGGCTTCTTACATCGAGCTGGACATTAAGGTTTCTTTTAAGATTCATCATTTGTCCTTCCCTGACTGCTCTCACTGCCTTCACACGGATTTGTTTTGTCCAACACAAATTCGTGCTGTCATTGCTGTGGTTTGGGAAGCAAATGTTCGTTTGAGGGAAGGAGAATTGGGTTGAGAACCTCCATTCTGTATCAGTGATTCCCGACCGAGTGCTGAGGATGCTGCAGAGAGAAAAAAAAAAAAAAAAAAAAAACCCAGCCAGGCCTCTGCCTCCTGAAGACTTGTTATATTAGCTGCTGGTGATGATCAAAAGAGAGATGTGTCCTGTTTAGTACATCTGTCCAGGCAGGTTGTTTGTCCACATGAAAAATATAAAAGGCAGCACTTGGCTCCCAACGCGCTGCCCTTTGTGGTTGGTTTTACGAGCTGTTAACTGGGCCGAGTCCTCGTGCTGAATGGCTTTGGTTTTTCTCATTACTGGCCTAGGATCTGGACCATGTACAGATGCACCTGGAAGAAGTGAGGTTCTTTGATTTATTCGGCTACAGCGAGGAAGCAGGAACTTGGCAGTGTTTTATGTGCAATAATCCCGAGAAGGCAACAGGTAAGTGATCTGCATTCATTACTGATGTGCTGTGAGCAGGGGAGATTTACTGCTGGCAGGCGAGCTCCGAGGATGGATGATGCAGCAGAGATAACGCAGCCTCTCTTCGCTCTGCAGTCATGGTCGTGCTCTCGGGGGAGAGAGCTAATGGAAAAGGGAGAGCGAACTTTCAAGCACAAAGTAGACAGCCTTTATTCTAATTGGATTCTCAGTAAACTCCTCATCTTGGCGTGTCCGGGGAGATTCAGAGTGCTAAGCAAAGCCTGTTTGTCCAGAGGGCCGCAGCCCAGGGGCAGCGCAGCCTCGTAAATCCGCGGGAGCAAATCCCTACTAGCCCCGGGGCAGGAGCGCCCTCCGCCTGTCCGGCAGTGTCCGGATAACGGAGCGTGTCCATGCGGGAGACACCTCTGCTGGGCCGCGCCGCGGGGGCTGCCCGTGTCCGGGGAGGTTGGCATGGACGTTGCACCCGCCTCTTGTTCTCCTGGGCTGGCAGGGCACCGCGGCCACGGGGCGAGCGTTCCTCCTCGCTCTCCTTTGCTTTATCATAAATGAATCCATCGTGTACATCTTCTTAGGAACCAGCTAATACTGAGTAACAGCCATAAGACCTCTGATATACAGACTGAGTGGGAAAACCCTTTGCCCAGGTAGGCGGTTCTGGTGAGGTTTTTTTTGAAGCTTTCTGATAGCCGCGTGTGGAAGATCCGTGATTGAAATTTGGAGGAAGCGCCTTTTGCTTAGATGTTTGTGCCACCCTGTGAAAGAATGAGACATCAGGGTCTGGGGACATCCCAGATATTTTGACATCTTGCTCCCTTCTGCTTCCCCAGCCAAGTGCCGAGATCTCCCGGGTGTTTCTGGGGCCCTTAGAGGCCCACGCAGGTGGGCACTGTTGCCGTGTCTGCAGCCTGGACCTAGACAGCAGCAAAAAGGCCACGAAAAGACAGCGGTTCCTGGTGAGCTCGAGTGCCTTTCAGTTAGCGTAAGGAGAGCTTCCCAAAAGCGAGTCCATGTGCGGCCCTGCCAAGAGGCTCCAGGGTTTGCGTTCAGACCACTTGACCTACATCTTGACTAGAGTAAACTGTGTATTGTGCTTGATGCTAAAAGTCCTTCAGAAGTGAGCATACACAGGGCATGGAAGCAAGGGCTCTGGGTGTACTCTTCCTTAGTTGTCATTATTTTTGAGTACTTTTCAGTTTTGTGTTGAGAAATCACATGCATCACCGTGTTGTCCATTTGGTGTCACCCTACGCACAGAAACACGGGGGAAGGTCGCTGCCCTCCCGAGGGTGAATCCCTTGCCTAGATGCTGTGAAAAGGCAGCAGTGAATTCTGTGTTAATCCCCCTTTTCTCCACGTGTAAATGAGAGTCCTGCATCTCTACGGCTGTGCGAAGTGCCAGGGTTACTGTACGGAGACTGTGCCCCGCGGCTGCCAGGTTTTCCAGGGCGAGAGTTCCGTGCTTCCCAGGGCTTGGCGGTGGGCACGGAGGTGGGACGGAGCGCTTCCCGGGAATGCCGGAGCCAGGGCCGGAGATCCTTCCCAGTCATGTGATGGGGACCGGTGGCTGCAGGGAAGAGGTTCCAACCCGCAGACCACTCTGTTGCACTTGCGTTTCTCTCATTTCTCTGTGCTGGCGTCTACATAGCAGATGCAGATACTGCCCCTGAAAACACGCTGCCGCTTCTAGGAGTGGAAAAATAAATCTTTTGTTGGGCTCGACTTTTATCTGGCTTGCATTTGTATCCTGTCAGCTAAACCCCCGTGGAAAAAAAACTGCTAGTAAAGCACTGGGATTTAAGTGAAATATTACCTTCTCAGCAGATGTAGGAACTTTTGACTTTAAATACATGTTGCTGAAAGGCTTTTCAGAGTTGGTTCCTACCCTTTGACAACTCCTCATCTTTATTTGTGCATCTTGTCTGAGCTGCGGGTAGGAGCAGCGCTGCTCTCCCGGCCATGTTGTTAAAGCAGCTCCAGGCCCAGCGTTTGTGCTCGATAATGACTCTCGACACCTAGCAGCTTTCTCCTCCTCCTCCCCAAACCAGAGAGCAAGCCCAGCAACGGTCCGGAATCCTAAAAAGCTGGTTGGATCTGGAGGTGCCAGCGCCTGCCAAATGTGTGGAAGAGCAGCGAGTGAGAGGAGGAGGCTCCGGGGTCTGGGCAGAAGAGGCTCCTGGTGCTGCAGGAGGGTCAGTGGATCTGGGGAGCGAGGAGGACACGGGAACGGAGGGGCTGCCAGCGGCATCGGTAGCTGGGGAACATCAGCGGGGCCATGATGAAGTACCAGCGGTGACACCACGACAATGCCACGTGAGGATCCATCGCGGCGCGAGGCGCTGCAGCCTCCTCCTCGCTCTGCAGGGCTGGAGCGGGGCGGGTAGAAGGGCCCTGAGCTCCCATCGAACTGCCAGGAACGGCAAGGACGTGAACACGTTGTGCTCTCCTTCCGCAGCGGGACACACACTTCCGAAATCTCAAATACTTCTGAAAGACAAGAAAGTCATTCCTCCCTCTCAGCAATGCTGCTTCATGACCAAATTCTTCTCAAAGAAAGAATTCAGAGGCAAATTCTTTTTCTATTATTTTCTTTTGGTTTTCGTTAATGCTGGGTTTTGTTACATTTTTTGGATACCGTGTTGCAAGATGCCATTTATCCTCAAGACTTAGGAAAGGATTATGCCTTAAAGCCTTGATCCTGCCTTAGGACGGCAGCTCAGACGTGGCTGAGGTGGCTTTGAGAGACGCGCCGCGTTTGGGGGCCGAGGTGATGGGAGCGCGGCCCCGTGCTTGAGCAATGCGGCGGATGCGCCCAGCAATTAACCCAGAGAAAGTCTGGGTGTTTCGCGTGCATTCTTGTCACTGCAAAGCATTTCTTAGACAATCACATTTTTCCAAAAGTGCTGTTAAATCATCTGGAATTGGGTTATTGTGTTGGTTTCTTTTCTTTCCCCGCTACTCTTGAGCGGGAGGGTTCCCACGTAGCCTGTTGGTGCCTCCTGCTCCGGTGCGTCCGTGTGCCTGGCGTGCAGGTGCTCACAGAGCTCTAAAAGGTTGTGCTCCTTTTTACACAGTGCTTGTTGGAGCACGAGTACCAGGCATATTTAAGATTTTAGTCAATATAATATGCGCCTCTTGCGAGGAAAAGCTGGCTCTAAAGAGCCTCATTTCAACATAACCTTCTGTATTGACAGTTGGCTTCACAGGCTCTTGCACAAAAAAACATTCAGTAAAACCACTTGATAGCCTAGGAGGGAATTGCAGTACATTCCATATTCTGGAAGCTTACAAAGAAATTGCAGTAATCCCTGTGGGCTGCAGAAGAGACGTTGTGCCCATGGGCAATGATTCGGGTAAAACTGAGGCTTTTTTATGAATTCCTCTTTAAAAAAGCAATTCGCTCAGAATAGCCTACACCATATTAACTTCTGAATACATTTATCTTTTGCTAGCAGTGGTGATTATCTGGTGAACTGAAATATCCCAGCTATAATGCTTGCTTGAAAATTATAAAAAGTGGCATTCAGTAATGTGTCCTTTCTAGGTTTTCAACAAAACCAAATGTGGTGATTAATGAAAGCAAGTGAATCCGTATTCCCCTAGGTTAATTTCCGTGATCTTCTGCTTACCCCCCACACATTCCATTCTTTCCCGTTAAGCAGAGTTCATTATCATTAAGATCATTCATGATTGGATTGAATTTTTGTGGATGTTTGTGTGTTTCATCAAATGCAAGATTTAATACTTTGTTTTTATCTGACTTGAGTTCATCTTGGAAGAGGTTCTTTTTTTTCTCTTCCCCCTTTTATTCAGGACCAAAACTGCTTAAAGCTGGATGCAGTTCTGCAAAGAAGGCGAGACAATTAATAACAATATAATTCCCACGGACAGTTACGTTAAGGGATATTTATATTGACTGGGGAGTTGGTCCCTGTGTAATGAGATGTTTAAAGAGGCAATGGAAATTACAGTAAATAATTTTCCACTTTCAGTTTGGGTAATATTTTTGCTTTTCTGTGTGTATTCTACAGAAGAAGTTATAAAAAGTGTTTAGTATAAATGTATAGGTCCCATGATACATGCCAGCATGCCACCCTACGGAGAGCTAAATCCAGTGGGATTGCTTGGTCACTGACTTTGAGCTCCTGTAAAACAGTAGCCATGAAAATCTAGCCCAATAATGTTTATATCAAAGGAGTGTCTTCTCTTACATCTATATAATCCTCTCATATTTCTCTAAAGATATCCAACCTTGATTTTTGGAAGTCAAGCGAAAGCGAACTCATGGCCTCCCTAAGCAGTTGCTCAGGCAAACTGTTCCTTGTTACAGTACAGGTTTATTTCTAGGATCACATTGTGACCTTCCCTGCTGGGTGATAATGTCCGATATGTGCAGCCTTCATCATGTCCCCTTTTTACATTGGCTTGGGCAAATTAGAGAGAATACACATCCTCAGTTTCCCATGATGTAAAAGATCACTCAGTCCTAAATCATTATTGAACCATTTTTCTGAACTCTTGGCAATTTGTCTAGATTCATGTGAGCTGAAGAAAGAAAAAGCAGAAATAACACGCCAGTGATTGAGGTGCGCGTGGGGCACTGCCCGCTCCAGCTGGTGAGTGATTGCCTGGCTGCAGGTTCTTCCGGCCGCACTCAGAGCGGCCGCGCTGCCTCCGCACGCGTTAGGTGCCGCGTTGCCGCACAGGGGGCTGCTCCCGGCCCGCGTGGCTCCGGGCACTCGCTGCAGGGTTGGGCCTTCAGCGCCCCGAGACGCGCGGGTGAGTCCTGACCAGGACACCAGGAGCGGCGCCGGGAGGAAAGTCGTTTCCTTCAGAGACCAAACTAAAGCAGCAGGTGGGATATAAGGGCGGTTTACACAGATTAGACCTCACCTCAAATTCTGCATCCAGTTTTGGACACCTCACCCTGCCCCGTTCAGGAAAGACATCAACAAATGAAGCAACTTCAGTGGAGGCCAACAAAGGAGGCTGGAGCAACCGGCCCCTGAGGAGGGGCTGAGACAAGGGGCTTGTTCAGCTTGGAGGCAAGAAGGCTGAAGGGGAACCTGACAGCAGCCTGTCCACACCTGCTCCAAGGTCGTGGAGAAGATGGAACAGGGTCTTCCTGGGGTGCCCATCGGGAGGATGAGAGTCAGCAGGCATAACTGGAGCACAGGAGGTTCAGACTCGATATAAGGAAGAACATTCCCAGCGTGAGGAATATCAAGCATGGCCCAGAGTGGCCACTGAGTTACCATCTTCAGTTTTCAAGACTCAACTGGATAAATCCATGAGCAACCTAGGGTGACCCCATAGCTGGCCTTGCTTTGAGCCCAGGGTTGGACCAGACACTCCTGGAGGTCCCTTCCAACCACGTTACTCTGTGATTCTGTGAAGTTAACCGCGCTGAAAATAAGCAAAGGGGTTTATAAAAATATTGAAATAAAGCTTCATTCTTATCCTTCCAGATCTTTTTCTTCTAATCATACTGTCAGACACAGCGGCAGCTACTTCGTTATGTCGTCTTTGGAAGCTGACGTCAGAGCTCCCCATGGACGTGAGAACTGCAGCTACAGCAGCGGTTCCAGCCACGAGTGCTTTGAAGGAGATCAGCATTTCTTTAGCAAATCCTGGTTTTGGAAGACTTTGGCTGTAAAAATACACGTTAGGACAAAACTACACATTAATTCCCTTTCTCGTGTTGCTTTCCTGACCGCCAACCATCTCTGTGTCTTCTGGTCTTTTCATGCTTTCCAGCTTCTTCATTTGAGTTAAGATACGTTGCTACTGCAGAGCAACTGGTACCAATGCTCGGCTGAGTGGGACCAGGAGCGGGAAGCTGCACAAATCCAACTGTCCAACAACTGCCTGTTTATATCAGGTTACTCTTGTGCCTATCTAGATGTTTCTGCAGCTCATGTCATGCTCTGAGGTGGCAATTCCTGGCACCCAGCTACGTGTGTTCTTGGGATATCCCAGAAATATCCACCTTGGGGATATCTCCTACCCAAGGAGCTTCACGTGAGCATGTGCAGGATGATGGAGGTGTGGATCCCATCTCAGAAGTAAACCAGAAGTCTTCAAGAAATAAGTTGTCAGAATCAGAGCTCACTTCTTAACTGTAATATGAAGATACAGTGAGCTGAGGGCTGTGCCAGTGAGTGGCACAGAGCAGGACGATGGGGCTGTTGCGCCACGTGTCACCCGGGCAGGACTTTGTGCAGGTATTTGCACAACCAGCAGTGATAACGCAACAGCTTGGTCAGCAGTTTAGGTGTCATGTACAGCCAACTAGAGCAGCTTAATGTGATTCTGTGAATGTTGTGGGGCTGAGGAGCAGCTGGGAGGGCGCGGTGGGGACAAGGATGCAGGGAGCAGCGGGACAGGAACGAAGGGACAGACGAGGCCTCCCGTGTGGCGGTGGCCGCTCGTGCTGCAAGCGCCAAAGGCCTTTGCTGTCCCCTGGGCACTAACCGCCTCCGTCCCCTCCGCAGGTGTGAACCAGGACGGGCAGCCTCTCATCGAAGGCAAGCTCAAGGAGAAGCAAGTCCGCTGGAAGTTCATCAAGAGGTGGAAAACCCGCTACTTCACCCTTGCTGGCAACCAGCTGCTTTTTCGGAAAGGCAAATCCGTAAGTCGGAGGAGCACTGGCTTGCTGCTTTATTTCCCTCTCTGCAGCACCGCTTCCCTGTGGTTTTTAACACCCAGCTTTTCCTCGTGCTCTCTCTGCACCATGGGGCTCCCAGTGCTGCCTGGAGAGGAAATGCAGGGTTTTCTCAGGTGAGGACATGAAAAGCACTTGTGTCCGCAAGGACCTTTTTGCCTTTATTTCTCCCTTTGTCTAAATTCAGAGCAACTCAGATAAAATCCTAGTTAAACTGTTTGAATATAGGACATTGAGTAGGTTATAGGAGAACTTGGTCTTCAGTGGTTTTTATTTCTCATTTATTAGGAGCTGACTTTCTGCCGCTTTGCACAAGGAGAATTATGCTCAACAGTCTTTATTACAAAGAGCTCTCTTGTAAGAGCTTGCTTAGATAATCCCCAAATAGCTGCATTTTCGAGTTTGAGTCAAACCTTCATATTTTTGGTAAATAATCTTTATTATTAGGGAAACCTAGCAAATCTCTTTAGCTTCTCAGTGCCTTTCTGAGTCCCATCCTTTGGGAAACTACCAGGGCGTTGAGCTGGGAGGAAGATGTGCCTGGGCACACGGGGCAGTGCCTGAATGCGACCGTCTTTTGCCAAAAAATTGCCTTTTCCTCAGCTTCTAGTGACTTCTGAGGCTTTGATTGCAGCCATAAGGACGATGCAGACATGTGTTGTAAGATAGGTTCAGTACCAGCTGATGCTCACCTTTAAAGGGTGTTTCAATAATTATCATTTTCCCCTTTTTTAAGCAGAAAATCCCAGGCTGCTCTGCCCTCAGCACAGCGGGCGCTGGCTGCCCGGTGTGTCTGCTGTTTGTCCCCCTTCGTGGGGAGGCAGGGGACGAGGCCCCTGCCTTCCCCCGTGGCAGGGCCAGGAGCAGTCCCCACGCGAACAGCGTCTGCTCCGTGTGAGCGGGCGCGCGGCCGCTGGGGCAGAGGCAGGCATGAGAAAACCAAGGCGGGAGAGGTCCCAACGCGAGCCACATCCTCAGCTCTTGGAAAACTGTGGTGAGCTCCTTCCACAGGAATGTGCCGAGGGGGCCATCAACTTTCTTAGGAACTTGAGGTCAAACCCAATGTGTGCATGACGAATAATGAGGAGTGTGTCCTCTCTGCTAGATGGGGGCCTGAACTCCTCATAAAGACTTGCTGGAGCCGGTGTTTGTGCAGCCAGGGGAGCTGCTGCCCCTTGGCCATGCCCGGGGCGTTAATGCTGCCAACGCTGCCTCTGGAAACAGCGGCTCCTTTGCAGGTCACGGGCTGGTGTCCCCAGAGAGGAGAGTTGTTCTGCCAGAACTGAAGATGTGGGTTGGAAATTATCTGTTCAAAGGTAACTTCTCAGGACCAGGAGGGCATTACTGGTAAGGAGTGAATGATGCAGATAAATAATCCATCCCAGGATACTCAGCAGCAGCAGGGCCTGAGCCGGGAAGCAGCGGATCCGTGTCCGGAGGGACCTGCCTGGTGGCTGCAGTGGCACCTTTGTCGGCTGCTGCTCTGCTGATAAGTGGCATCCAACGTCCTGTGGCATCCAACGTCCTCCCGGCCGGGAAGCACTGCAGCACTGCAAGGAATGCAGGACACCGGGCCGGGATGTGGAAGAGCTCCAAAAGTGGGGAGGCCCAGCCCAAGAACTCACTATGAAGGGCAGGAAAGGGCAGAGCAGTCATCACTCCTGAGCTGGAGTTTCAGCCCCCAAATCTCATTCAGATCCTTCCTGCCCTCCAGCTTTAGGAAAATCTGCTTCTGAATTTTGGATTAAAACTCTACCATTCTAAGTAAAAAATATGGGAAGCTCTACAAGAGGTACCTAAACACCTGTGAGGAATCAGGGCCCTGGGCTTGACCTTCTCTTTTGGAGACCACATTTCACACCTTACAGATCTCCTCTTACCGACCTCCCCTTCCTCAGGAAACTTCCCCAGCTTTGAACTATGAACTCTTTTTCTGACACATCATATTCCCACTCTTATAAAAATGGTAACATTCATAGACTTATCTACTTTATGCATTTTCAAATAAAATTATAATTGCACTGCCCTATCTTCTTCATTCGTTATGAAGTAAATGTTATATTTGCTTTTCATGTTCCAGGACCACACTCCAAGTACCCACTCCCTTTTCTTAAACGAGCAGAAGGAACTTATTGTGCTTAGGGGAGTCTCCAGGGCACCGCCTGATTTTCATGCCTAGGAAGTATTTTGCCGTTGACCACACATGGCTGATGGGCTAAACATTTTTGCAAATGTGTGCTCCAAATGTTTCCATTTTAAACAGTGTCATTTATTTTTAGTAAAGCCTCCTTCTTGTCCTGCTTCTGAGAACACATCCCCAAATGTAAAAGTAGATGGAATTTGGGAATGGCTGAAGTTTGGGAACTACCTGGGGATGCAATACAGAGTCGTTTAACTGGAGAGAAGTGGCTGACATGTCAGTCGATCTCCCACTGATTTTAGAAGCGACTTTGTGCCCGTCCTGCTCCCTGGATGACACGAGCGCTCAGAGGCCTGTTGACCCTCAGCCTTTAGGCTCGTCAGGCTCTGCTTCATTTGCGCTCATGCAAGAGACCCATGGGCAGGAGCTCCTCAGGCATCTTCAATAAGGGTCACCACTGTTTAAAGCCAGGGGAGGGGATATCCAAGACTGGATTAATAGCTGAAATCATCACCATTAGGGAACTAAGTAGTGCCAATACTAAGTAGTAGTACAAGTACCTCGTGGCTGTGTGAGTTTGTGACCCACAATGGCTCTGTTGAGAAATGCTCCCCCCTAGCAGTGTTTGCCAGCCCAACTCTGTCAGCTCGAGCTGCTCAGCGGGCCACGGAGCGCTTGACTTTATAAACGTGCTGTTGTTTCTGTGCCCTGTTCCAGAAAGACGACCCAGACGACTGCCCCATCGAGCTCAGCAAGGTGCAGAGCGTTAAAGTGGTGGCGAGGAAGCGCCGGGACCGCAGCCTTCCTCGCGCCTTTGAGATCTTCACCGAGAGCAAGACGTACGTGTTCAAGGCCAAAGACGAGAAGAACGCGGAGCAGTGGCTGCAGTGCCTCAACGTGGCCGTGGCGCAGGCCAGGGAAAGGGAGAGCAGGGAGGCCACCACCTACCTGTAGGAGCACCTAACTACCTGTAGGTGTTCCATGACCCCTGGCCCTGCTCTGAACCATTTTTACCTCCAGACCAGGGCAGCCACAGGCAAACTGAGCAGCGGGAATGTCCCTGGCCCTGCATAACTCCTGGCTCTTTGGAAACTGCCAGGAGGCCACTGGTTGGCATGGAGCAGGGATGTTCCTGTTTAATGCTGCACCTTCGATGCATTTGGTAACGCTACCAGATAACCTCTGTTGTCTGGGAACACTCCTTCGCACCATCAGCTTACTGGTATAGAAGTAGCTTTCCCGTCCATATGAGAAATGCAATTTTTCTTTAGCCTGTTTGCCATAAAACTAGGAAACCAGCTTAAAAACCAACCCAGATCTCAACTCATCTGCCTTTGCTCCAGAGCTGAGCAAAGCAGCCATGGGACAAGGTACCATTGGGAGCATCCTTAAGCACAAGGTCCCCGAGTGTTCAGGGAGAACCTGCTGACTAAAGAAGGAAGGTCCACCCAAAAGGAGCTTTACTTTATAGCTAACGTGTTCCAGAGCAGTGGAACAGGCTGCCCAGGGAGGTTGTGGAGTCTCCTACTCTGGCGGTCTTCAAAACCCACCTGGATGCCACCCTGTGCCACATGCTCTAGGTGTGCCTGCTTGAGCAGGAAGGTTGGACTAGATGATCTCTAGAGGTCCCTTCCAACCTTAAATATTCTGTGATTCTGTGATTCTGTGAACGTGCACAGAGGTCTCCATTTTAGTGGGGAAGAAGCCAGAAGGCAGAGCCATCCTGCAGTTCCTTCCCCATGTACACATTTCATCTTCTTTTGTGTTTGCTGGAAGCGCAGCAGATTTAGAAGGTTAAGCACTGCCCAAAATAAGCTTACGAAGGAAGAATCAGCGTTCGGGGCTGGTTTTCCTCTCTTTGCCTGATTCAGGCAGAGGAATGCATAAGTGATTAAAACGTAGTTTTTTCTTACCTTATTTTTCCTTCTATAAGAAAGAAAAAAAAAAAGAGAAGAAACTCTTCTCAGCCACGAAAGCATTTGCAGGGCAGTCTGCAGCTATTCCGAGTTTCCACGTGCTGTCGTTTGGGCAGCTGTAAGTGGGGCAGCCGTTCACTACCGATTCTCTCATATTTCCTCATTCACTTTATATCTGTAAAAAAAAAAATTCCTTTGGTTCTTTAATCTCAATGTATATTATCCTTTTTACTGTCTTCGAGTCAGTGAAAAAATGAGTTTTGTTTCTGTTTTTCAGAAGGTTTCAAGTGGAGCAACTTTAAAGAGCTAAAAAATGTTAAATATTTAAATGTTTTTGTTTTTCCTTTCTCCTCCTTTTCCTTCCCTTGTCACTGAATGTAATGTTTAATGTATGTTTTTTTTCTGTGTTTGTAACTTTTCAAAATTTATCCAAATCTGGAAAATATCTGTCTTTTTTTTTTTTTTTTTTTTTTGCTCTCATATGATTCAAAAGTTGAAGAAATATAAAGCAAAAATAAATAAATAAATAAACCAAGAGATAAAAGATGAATAAGAGTCTGTGGATGAAGAAATGAACTTAGCAATCATGAATGAAGCCATGAAGCTGAACCTGGTTTTAAGGGAAAGAGCAGATGTACAAAGGGGAATTTCCATGGGCTGAGTCACAGAAGGGGAAGAGATTTTAGCCATTTAATTTTAAATACCTGCATCATTCCAGCCTCACCTCCCTGGCATATGAGGGCCCATGGAGTCTAATGGAGCACCTCACGGGCACCAAGCTGAATGTAGGTCTAGGGCCTTCAGTTCCAGCACTGTGTCCTGGACAAATTCCTGTGTTTTTGTACCAGGGAATGTCGCTGGTTTCTGATACACCCTGATGGCCAGATTATTATTTTTTTTTCCAGAAAAACAATCTGTGTGATGCCAAATTTCTGCCTGCCACCTCTGCATTGCATCCTGAGCTTAATCACTGGATTATACGCCTGGGTGTTTGTGCAAACACGGGTGTCACACATGGGAATGCAGAAATGGGGACAGGAAACCCTTCCTGGGGTCAAGTGACTCCCGAAACCGAGTTTGGGCAATTCCAGCGCTGCTTCACCTGCCTTCCTGCGGTTTTGTCACCAGCCTTTAGCTGCCAGCAGTCACTGACGTCCCCCACTGCAGCCCCAGGGACAGAGGCAATAGGGAACACAGAGCTGCGTGGTTGAAGAGAACCTGGTTTGGGGGCCAGAGAATAATTGCATAAAGTAAGAAGCTTAGCCACACTTCTTCTGTCTTAAATTAAAACTTGGAATAAAATAAAAGAGAAATTCAGCTGGCAACTTATTCTAGTTATCCTCCTAAAAGGAGAAACACAGAAATCATCAATCTAGTTACGATGAGAGCAAGGAGATTTAGAAAAGAAAAAAAAATCCTGCTGTTGCAAATTTTCTTCTGGAGCAAATATATAAATAGCTGTTCTTGGTTCTTTTCAAAATAACATGTATTGAAACAGTCTAAATTTAAACAGCACTGCCCTCTGAAGTGGGAGCGCTTTGCACAGCTGAGACTTGGGTGCAGAAATCAGCCCTGATCCTATGGGCAGATACAGGCGCCCTGGATACAAGTCCAAGCCTTAGATACAGGTCCAAGACTTGGATACAGGTCCAAGTCACAGCTGAGCCATGCGGGACTGTGGTTCTGGGGAGCAGAGGCAGCCAGTTCCCAGGTGAAAGGTTTCTAAGATCCATCAGGAAAATAATTACATTCACCTAGAGCATTAACATACAACGAGAGATTTCTCTAACAAACCTCATGCCTTCCTCTATCTTTTTCAAAAGCAAATAATGCTTCATACCCAACAGGCTTAGTATTCACTGAAGAAAATCTTCTGCTATTCTTTCTTGCAGGGTTGTTGTTGTTGTTGTTGCAAACTGCTGCTTCTGCTTATTTGACATCTACCCTGAGCTGGCCAGTTTTTACAGGAATATTTCTGTGTCCTGACTGGCTGATTAGAACTTTTCGGCTCGGGTGACAAACAACAGTGGTGGTGTCCGCAAATGTTCCTTTAAGAGCCCTTTCTTATTCAAACATTGTTTTCTCCCCACTGTCAAACTGACCGTGCTTGAAAATTCAGACTAATATTTGGCATTCCTGCAGGGCTCATGGAGGTTGAAGTAGGTCGCACACTGAGCCAACCGAGCAGCGATTTCCAAGGAAAACTCTGCCCTTTGGACAGAGTCTGCGAGCCGAACGCCAGGCGGGCTCGGTTGGCCCGGCACAGCTTCCATGGGACTTCTCCCAGCTCCACTGGCCTGCGTTTCCTCAAAACAGGAACCACAGGTTGTGCTCAGCCCCGGCCTTCGCAGGGCTTGTTTGTGAGAGCCGAGCTCGGCTCCGGGAAGGTGTCCAAGGAAATGTTACCCGAAGTTCCCAAAGTTACCCACTGCCTCCACGAACAAAGAGCTGCACAGTGTCCAGCAGGAGGAGAATAAAGCAGCAATAAATGCATAGATATTATACATGTGCATCACAGGCATTGTGGGCATAAATGGAATGAGCAGGACATGATTTCTGACTCACAGATTTTCCAACTTTTCCGATCCCAAGGTCAGCAGCCCTTGGGACCAACCTTGCCTGCTTATTGCTGATGAGTTTTCTAGTACATCTTCATAAAGATGACTAATACTCTGGATAAAATCCTCGGCCCCACTGAGGTCAAATGCAAAACTCTTGTTAACTGCAATGAGCTGGGCTTTCACTGTGCTCGCTGCCTGCTTAATCCTACCTGTTAAAGTTTGGGGAGATGCTACAGGAACCGAATGTGCTTCTGTGACCCAGTGCTGCCAAAGAGGGTGACTGGCCCGGCCTGGAGCCTTTGGCTGACGTGACATTAACGCTGGTTGCTGCGCCGGGACCATCTGCTTTGATCAACATCACCCCATGTGCCTTGGGACAGTCGTGCTGATCTAGGCTGCTTTTCCTACCTAAAATGTTAGGAGTAAAGGAAATGTTAGTAGTAAGCAAGAAATAATAGATCTTTTAATAAGAATATTTTTTTTTTAACAGAAACTTGCTTCCATCAATTAGTAATTATTTAGATTGCACCTGCAGAGAAACTAGACATTGATAAATTAGATGTCAAATTACAGGAACATTTAGTTGGCTCAATTATGCCATAAATCTCCCAGTTGTCTAATTAAGGGAAGAAAGAGGCAAAATCAAACTTGACTCATTTGACTGGACCGTTGAAATGACCTGGAGGTTTCTAAATGGCTTAATGGCCACGAACAGCCTCACCTGGGATCCTTGCCACCGTGTCCTGCTGAGCACTGCTGTCTGTGCCTGGATGTCCCGCTCCTCTCCGGGGAATCGTGGCACCCCCGGGTGCCCAGCTAGCTTGCAATGACCATCAGGATGTCCCAAAACGTGCAGGGATTCACCTCTATAAACGTGGATGTTCTCAGTTAAACACCTCATCCATTTCCTGCGAGCATAACACTCTCCCAAGGTAATTCCGCTATTTAAATGGGACTTCTAAGACATGCTGAGATTGCCTGGTATTTATAAGAGAGAAGTAAGCACAGAGCACCACTATGTTTGCAGAGCAATAGGCAGAGCTGCTTCGTAGGAGCCAAGATCCGCAGGCTGCTCCATGCCCTCCCCTCCACTCCTCCTGCCTCTTCCTCAACGGGGAAATCAACCTGGACATGCAATTCCTGTATGTCTTACAGATAAAGCGTGAGGAAATTAGAATTTGAGAGGGCCTTTAAAAATCAAACAATGTCTTTTGTTGCCAGGAAGCCTCGGGGAATAGGCATATCCAACTTTCTTTCAAGAGAGTAAAATAATTATCCACTTTGGGCTGCATCCAAGGCCATGCTGACTCGTTTGGAAACCTTGTCTGGGTTTGTGGCACACAGATAATGGTGCAGGGCATTCCTTCTAGCAGTGGCCAACAACAGTTTAACCAGATTGGAGCTACTCCCATGTTGTTGTCTATCTGGCAAAGCCCTGAAGCCATAAAATTCTTGGAACAGCCTAGAAGTGACGCTGAGCTTAAGCTGCACACTTGCAGATGTTGATCTCCCAAGACTGAATTCATACCTGAACCAGTCAAAGCAGACCTCTAGTTTGTCAGTAGCATTTCTGCCCACATTTGTCACCTGGGAGGTGTTGATTGGTTGTCTCTCCACTGAATTCAGTTTTCAGGCCACGGTTGTAGATAATTAAAATAGTGTGATAATAGAAGGGTCTCCGGGGTCTCCAGGATCTGAACAAAAAGAACCTTGTCTGGCTGCTGGCCATGGAAAGCATGTGTAGCAGTAAGACGGTTCTTTGTTTCACATTCCTTTGTAAATGATAACTTCATACAATCAGGTAGCACTGTTGTGGAGGGATACAAACACATACTCATTGGAATGACTCCCTGCTTAAAGAATAAATAACAGCTGGACGCTGTGTGCCACAACATGCAGAACAGATTTGTAACCAAAGATGTTTGGTTGGTTGTGGTTTGGGGCTTCCAGCCCAAGTGAAAACAGTCCATGGCAAGTGTTTTGTTTTCTTTTCTTTTCTTGAAGAATGCTAGGGTGAAGTTTCCTTGCTTCGATGCAGGTGGTGTTTCAGCAAGAGCAGAACATGATTTTCCCAGCTGTCTATGGCTGTGCTTCAGTTTGGACATTGGGAACCCACCTCTGCCGGCACCGCCGCGCGGAGGTCAGCTTTGAGTGCCGGCCACCAGCTCCCCTGGCACTGGCTAGCGAGGGATCACGGGCCGCACTGCCCGCCAGGCTCTGCTCTCATATCTGATTGATCGCAGTGTTTTCCAGTCTGCGCACTATTGATTCTGTGCTCTTAACTCGTACCCTGTTTAGCGCTGTCTCATCTCACAGGAAGAGCCCCTAACTGGTTACAGGGTCGAAGCCAAGAACAGCACCGTCACATGAGACTTTCTGTAGTGATTCATCACAAGCCAGGCAACAACTCCTGTTGTGGAAACTTCGGCGCTTCCAGGGTGGTGTAGGAGTCCATTTCTTTTATTTTCATCAGCTCCTAATATGGGGGGATTTCTTATTACCATATCTACCATATCTAGCGGACAGTGGCAGGCCTATTGAGGCTAACAGGATCTCGGACAACATGAGCGAGCAGCTTTTGGGAGTTAAAATTTTCATGGGCTCAAAAGCAGGGGTGAAAGCACATGAAGGAGAAATCTATTGCAGGCTACTAAATACATAGAAATGACCTCTGGTTCAAGAAACCCATTTTGCCAAGCTGGAACATACCCTGGCTGTGCTATCGGTTCTTCCACCGCTCCTCAGTAATCCAGTACAGTGGCTCTCTCTTCTTGATAGAAGTGAATCTAAAATAGATCAGAAATAAATGAAAACAGGACCACCTTAATTCTAGCCCTGCTTTGCTAATCCAGTGTGATCGATGACTCGCCCTCTTGTGCTGGGCTGCAGAAAGGCCCAGCTTTAATGGCAAACGGTTGGGCCCAGCATTTACATTTAAGAAATGCTGGAAGGACATTGTCCACTAGCACCTAAAGGTATGTCTTTAAAACAAATACAAAACTCTAAACTACAAAGAATCAAAGGCACTTTCTTAAACATATCCCACGTGTATGCCGAACTGTGGCTGATGCTTTTGGCTCTCTCCCGGGCTTCGTACAGTATCTGTTTCATTGTATTTTCAACATATGTCATCCAGATCTGCATCCTGCATGATGTGTCCCATTTGGCCCAGCTAGTTCAAGATTTCCAGTAGGACAAACTGGATTTCAGAGGAGCTCTGCAGTATTCCTACTTCCAAGATTGATGTGAAAAACACTCTATACTCTTGACTTGCATGACAGGCTTCCCTTATCCTTCACTGGGAGACTTCAAACAGCTGTTATCATGAAACCCACCCTTAGCACTGAAGAACTCACCCATCCATTTGTTTTCCCTAAAACTGTGACTATTGCCCCAGAACAGGGCGGGCCCAGTCCTGAGGTCACTGACACACCAAGTACCTAAATCACGAGGCTTTATCAAGATGGAGCACAAATGCAAACATTGTTCACAGGGAAATGAACTGAAGATACAAAAGATGAGGAAGCACCAGCCTCCAGGAGCCATAGTTTCAACTCACTGCTTTAGCCAGAGTATTCTGGTTACTAAAACCATAGGTAGACAGGAGAAACTGCTCAGAGCAGTGCAAAGCAGCTGCCTCTCCTTTGAAAATATCTTTGAAAATTTTAGGGGATAAACCACTTCAAGCTGTTCACTTTGCCTGATAGACAATTGGCCACTTGCTTTTGTTTCTGTTTCCTGCTTACAGAGAGGGAAATAATGATAGTCGAGTATTTGCTGGGGAGGAATATTTGTGCTGTGCAAAGCTATTGCAGCCGGAGTTCATCAATAGCCTGGTAAAACCCTCACAGCCATCCAGATATTTGTTTGGGCAAACAAAAAGCAGCAAATTGAATAGAAGCTGAGTATTCAAAACTATTTCTGCAAACTCTTTCTGCTCTGTTGAGTGCTTCACATCTGGCCATATCCCGTTCCATTTAATCGCTAATGAAAATGCATGTGAAAAGCAGTCGCCCTCTTCTAAAAGCTGCTTGCTGCTTTTGGGCTTCCCTTTCTGCTATTTATTAACTCTCCATATTCTCAGGAACTCACTTTCTCATCCACAGCCTCCCGCTGCTCCGAGTGTCTTTGACAAGGGCAGTGGGACGGGGGTGGGGAAGGATGATGGAAAACATTATGATTTTATCAGCAGCCTGTTGTACATACTATTATGAAAGGAGGAATAAAAGCCATGTGCAAAAGATCAGTATTGGTAATAAACTGTAAAGCCCATAAGCCTGTTAGCTGTAGGAAGGGCTCCGCTGAGCGGGAGAAGACAATGTTGGGACTCCCTTTCCACACCATCCCCTTGGCTTCCACCAGTAGGTGCTTCAGGGACCTCTAACACTGGCGCTTTTCCTGAGCACTGTGTTTAATAACAGGAATTTGCCCAATGCCTCTTCTAAGGCACTCATAATTTTGGCCTCTGCAACACTCTGTGGCAATGAGTTCCCCTGTTTAACTATGTGTCCACTGATAGTTTGAGTGCCCTCATGTGCACAGCTTTTAGTGGCATCACGAAGGCACTTGAAAGCACCTCTGGAATGGTCTGTGTTGAGGCTTCCTGCCCATTACATGTGAGCCTGTGGGCCACGTGGCACCAGTGAGTAGGGGACACATCGGGGACCGGATGGGACACGAGGGAGCAGGAATCAAAGGGAACATGTTTCAAGGTCACTGGGCTCAGGGGAATCTGCAGTCGTATCTGAGCATTTAAATACAACAGGGTCTTTGCTTTGTTTCTATTGCTCATTCAGGAGGAGCAATAATGTCACATGCCATTGAGTGTGATATCAAACTAGACCATAATCTATGGAAATGTGAGCAAGATACATCCCTTTTCCATCCAAAGGGGGACAAGGGGCCTTCTAAAGTCCTTATCCAGAGCCAATGAGCAGATTAAAGGTCAACTGCACCTGAGGGCATCATGTATCCCATGCTGATGAACTAAGTACATCACTGCTGTTTCCCTGAGAAGTCCTTAAGGGAGGGAGTTAATAGGTTTCCCGTGGGTGTCACCTGGGGCTGGTTGGTGCTAATGAATTCGGGGTGAGAAGAATGAGCAGGAGCAGGTTGCCCTTCACAGCAATACTGAGATACGTTGGTGGAGCACAGCAGAAATGCAGCAAATGGGTTCTGCTTCTAGCATGGATGTGTCCTGGATTGCAGGAAAAGTGGTAAAAAAACAGTTGCGTTAGCGTCTTTTCACCTCTCCTAAAGCTACTTGTGTCTCTTCCTATCTTTTCCCTGCATCTTTCTGGACTGTTTGGCATCCCCAGGTAGTGACCAATGCCCAGGTGTGTGGGAATGTGCAGTTCTCGCACTCACTACAGGAGAACAACCCTGGGGCCACGTTTGAAATGCTGAATGTATCTTTGTGTCTTGAGGGCAGGCCTGGGGGCCTGAGTCTGTCTACAATGGTCCAATATACTGTATTTTGTCTCTTCATTTCAATCTTCTTTTAATCTATGGCTCTAATACCTGCACAGCAACACCTTTCCTTCCGCTTCTGTGTCTCTGTCAGTCACTTTTTCCAGTCCACTCCTCTTTTCATTTTTCTTTTACAAAGTTTACCTCTGTTCTTTCTATCTAAAAGATTGAATTGTGATTAATGGAGGCAACAGAGCAGTGAACACTTGGGATTGAAGTGCAAAGCACAGGTCACCTCTTGGTTTCAGGAAAGATGGGCCTTGCCAGAGCAAATCCATCAGCTGGGGTGTCTATTAATAGACAGACATTATCCCTTGATTTGGTAGGTAGGCTCTGCAGGATACTTCTTAAAGAAACTGCTGCCCAGTAAATGCTGGGAAGGTGTTGGCGAGCAGCAGGCACTGGAGGGCACCCGCAATAAGTGGCGTTCTCGCTGCCGTAACGCAGAGTTGCCATCTCGCACGGGCCGCGCTTGGACTAACCCGTCAGTCTGGGAGGAATTCACATTAAAACAGCAGTTTTAATTTTCCATCTCCTTTCTATGAACTTTACAGGTAGCAATTCCTTCCTGCAGCTTTATCCCAGCAAACGCCACTGGAAGTGCTGCTTGTGTCGGCGCTAGGGGAAGCGTGGGGCAGAAAACACTTGTCACCAGAGGTGCGTATTATTTGCTGTGATATCTTTTCTGCTATTTCACACAGGTCAGAGATCTTACAAATTACATAGGTTCCTAAGAATCAGTAATTTTAAAGGCGTCTCTTTCTTCTTCTGAATTCTGATTAATTTCACGAGATAAAGTATCCCTATGTATCCACATCTAAAGCATCCACATCAGCCGGATGTGTCGGGGTGGAAAGTGTCCCTGTAGACGTTGTTAAACACCGAGGAGGGACAGGCAACGCCAAGTTATTTAATGGGCACCCGAGGCTTCTGTTATAACATGATGCCTCCCGCAGAGAAAGTCAACAAGCGCTGTGGATACGCTGCATTCCCCATCAGGCCTGTTAATTTTAGGAAAGGCCTAGATTTGTGCATGTTGTTTGGGTCATTACTTTTTGGATTAACAAACACAGCTTGATGCGAGGTCCAGAAATGCCAGAAATGCCTCTTGTCCACCAAGGGATTTCAGCAGCTTTTTAACTGTTAACAGACTCTTTAAATATAGCATAAATTGATGAAACCAGTGAATGGAGGAGAAATGAGGAGAGACACCTCTCATCCCTTTGGCTGATAACGTGAACTTACACTCTGCTAATGACGTCTGGAGGAGACAGAGGATCTCCTTGTTGGTATTTTCTAGTGCAGGAATGAGGACACACAAATGGTGGATGGCCCCAAATGCAGAAAGTGTGTCCAAAAGTTGAAGATTTGTCACGCGAAACTCTGCGTGCTGAAATTTTACGTGAGTTGACAAATGGGGAAATACTTTGGCGAAAAGTCTCAGCAAAAGTGCAAAGATAGCAACTCTGGCCTGAGAAACTCCTGAATTTGCTGGGAGGATGCCTGAAGAAGTCACTGCGTGGCCAGTTTGGGTCCTGTTTGCTTCAAAAACCTGCATGGGGGCAGGATGTTGTTCTGCGTGGAGGCTCATCCAATGTGGCCATCATGAAGGCGATGCCAGGCCCAGCTGCCCTCCCCTTAGAGCTGCCCCATGGATGCTTTGAGCAGTGCAAGCGCTGGATGCTCTGAGGAAGCTGCTGGTGGGATGGACTTCTGTTAAAACTACACTTTTGTTGAGCTTTGGGTGCATGTAAGGTTATTTATAAAGAGCACAGACCTTTAGAGGAAGTCTTGTCTTGCTCATAGAGTCACTAGAAGAAAGGAGCAAATATCTGGCTTGAAACTCTGTATTAGTGGTGCAGGCATGTGAAAAATAGGACTGTCCAGATAGTTGGCTTTGACTTCAGTGGGTTTCATCTGGTTTAATCACTTCAGTTTCCTATTAAGATCCAGTGCAGTAAAAAAAAAAAACAGCAATTATGGTAAACTGTGAGGGTTTTTTTAGTAATGATCTATGTGAACAGTCTTAAGGGGGACAAGTGACCTGTGCCAGTCATTTGTACCAGTTTCATCACATGACCAAAGCAAAATTACAGCTTTTTCCAAGACCATGTACAGTCAGCAAAGTCATTTTCTGATTCAGAATAAAGTCACAGAAAGTCCTTCTTCCAACTGATGGGAACATCTGAACTCCTGAAGCTGAAAGTTTCCTACTTTCAGGTTCAGGAGACCTGCACAGACCGTGCAGAGTTTCTAAGTCAGCCTGTATAGAGTGATTTTTTTTTTTTTCTTTGATGTGTTTCTTTCAAGGTATTTTTGTCCAAGACAGTGTTTGCGCTGCAAAGTCCTCACTTTGAGGTGCCTCCACAGAATGGTTTTTCTCCATAGGTGATCAAGCAAATCCCCAAGGACAAAAGTGTCATTTAAAAAATGTTAATTTGAATTTAATCAGATATAATCCATAATCAGGCATACATACAAGTACATACTTATAAGTAATGCAAGATAAATGTAGTGTTTCTCTCGTGAACACCTCTGGTTAGCTTTGTTCCCTGTCCCTTGTTCAGTGCCTGTTGCCACCCTCACCACTAAGGTGCAGGATTAACCCTGCAAGGTTCGTTGCTAATTAATGTACCAATCTATGTTGTTGGTACCGCTGCAGTGGGCTGACAGGTCAGCCTGCAGGACACAGCTGCTCTTCTGGTTTTCTGAACATTTCGAAGTCTAGATATACTTATGGCCAAGCACAAAAATGTTACTAAATTTCGATTGTTTCTTTTGTAGTAAAGTGCTGCCTCCTGCTGGGTAAAAGGTATTATCATAAAGTCTTTCTTTAGTAATAACTCTGTAATTTGTATTTTTTTTCTTTCACCCAAGTTTAGGAAAGGGCATTTTAAACATTATTCTATGAGCAACTAAATGGAAAAAAAATCATTTAAAAAAAAAAAAAAAAACCTATTCCAGAAGGAATCAAGCTAACTCCAGACAGAAGGGCTGCCCAGGAAAGTAAGCGGATATTTCCAGAGCGAGCGTGCCCTTTCCTGAGCGCAGAGGGATGCGGTCAAGTGCGCCACCAGCACGCGGGTGCACTTACCTTAAATAGAATAACCACGTGTGCTTCAGTCCAAACCTCCTCACTCATGCAAAAGAGCAAAGGGCTCTGTGTTGTTATACATGTATTCCTTGCATCTGTTTGTCACCAGCTTTGGGAAGTATCAGCAAATGAGACTACGGATCTTTCCAGGACCTTGATAAGGTTGATCCTTGAGAAACTCCTAATCCAGACTGAGGTCTGTTCCAAAAATAAATGACAGAATTATCACATTACACTGACTAAAAGGAGAATTATGTTAAACAGAAATCCTACTTCATTATTCTACAGTTTGGGAAATATGGATGGTAATGATATTAATTCCTATTTCTGACAATTGACAATCAGTGAACAGAACGTTCGCCTACTTGAGTAAATGACCTGCTAACATTAATATTGAGGTCATGCCCTTGTTTCTAATTAACTGGTGCTGAAATTACTCTGGGATATGTCTATAAATAGATATATTGGTCTTGCCTTGAGTAACTCAGAGCATCTGCTCTTTACCCGATTCTATGTGGTGTCCAGGGCTTTTCTTAACGGTGCCAAAGAGCATTTGGGAAAGTTCTGCCTAAGTCTATATTGATTTTTTTTTTCCCCTTTGCCCCCTTTTGTTTTTTCCCCTTCAGTCCTGCTGGGAGGGAGACAGAGCTCTCTGATGACACTAAGCTGATCTTAGTGTCGGCAAACTATCCTTTTTTTCCCATCTGTAAATGATTTGTGGTCTATTCATGGTGATATCTGGTGCATATTTAATACTGCTGATGGTTATATCAGCTAGGAAGGTCTTGTCTACCTATTAACAATTAAATTTCCTCCTGTGTGCTAGTGAGGGTCTTGGCAAGGGGGTAGCTATAACGAACCATTCATCCTTCCTGTTTGCCTGACCTGACCCAGAAATGACCGTTTTGTGGCTCTTCTGCAAAGCTGAATTACCCCGCTAGATGGCACGCAACCACTCTAAAAGACCCCAAACAGGATTTTAAACAAGCGTAGCCACATAAAATTCACCTCTGAAAAACAGCTGTGGGAATTACGTTTGCCCTTATGGTTACCCTTGTAGAGTATTCCGAAGCTGGACTAATAATCACGATGTTATTAGCGAGGCATATTATTAATATCTCTTTCATGTAGTTATGACCATGAACCACAAGTAACAACACATTTATTGTCTTCTGCCAGAATAGTTGAAGGTGTCTTCCTAACTGTTCTCCTGTCAACTCACTGAATGAGGTGTTCTTGGTAAGGTCGTATATTGAGTTTAAGAAGCTGTGTTGTTTTGCTGTCTAAAAATGCCCTATTCTAGGCACAAGGACAGAATTTCCTGTTTTACTGCAATCAGTGGGAAATTTGCCAATGACTCGGTAGAGCTGAGATGCCAACTTAGATGCTGGAAGAGAAATAATATCCTTGATGGAGGCGCAGAGATGAAGAGGGAAGTACTTGATTCTTTCTTTGAATCATTCTGTAAGCACTGGGGCTGGTAAGATACCCCAAGTGCTTTATAGCAGAGAAAAGCTAGCAAAAGCAGGAAGAAATGTCTGAGCAGCTCACACCTCATTACAGCACTTCTAGAGTAAAAAAGGAAGGCAGCTGAAGTGTTGCTCGCCTCCAACAGCACCTCCTTTCTGCTCTGTGCTCTTCTGTGTTTGCCAGCTACTCTCCAATACCTGGGCACCAGCTGTAATACAAACACTTGGGTTCAGTACAGAAAGCAGCTACACAAAGGGCTCATTTCTGCACCAACAGAAGGGTAAAAGTTCTTGTTCCAAAAAAGCAGCCACAGAACAAGAGTTAGCATGTCAACCTGATTTACTTAAAAGGGGGTAGTCCTCTAGGTAAAACACTTAAAATGGGTTTAACTGAGTTTGTACAGTCGGAAAGCTTTTTTGTTGGCTGCAGCTTTAGGGTGTAGCCAAAGGTCTGGCGTGCAGCTAGCAGTGCTAAACTGCCTGTTACTCATTTTGTGCAGTACCCAGCTCGGTAAACACCAGTATGCAAAAGGCCTAAGCGGTGAGCGATTTGCCTGGTATTTGCATGTGACGAGGCCCTGCGGCACTGAGTAGGTCTTTGCGTGCGGGGGAAGCACCTGGCAGGGGTGCCCGTTGCTCGCAGCGAGATGTTTGCTGCGTTCTGCAGCTGCTCTGGCAAGCGCGGCGGGTGACACTTCCGACAGCGGCCGTCTCCGTGCGGCAGGGCAGGATGTGGCTGTGACTCTGCGCTCGCTACCGTCACACAGAGCTCAGAGAAGCGCTGCTCGATGCTACCCAGGCACCAGGGTGCTCGGCCTCCTGCTCGGATGAGGTTGCTGGAACCTTTTCCTCCTGCTGCAGAACAGGGTTACCAGAGGACTGGGGTGTCTGCCTGAGGCTGTCACGGGCCTCCTAAAGCAAAACAGCTCCTTAGTTGGATGCACAGAAAGCAAGGCAAGGCTCTCAGTACCACGAGCCTACAGAGCACGCCTTAGTCCCCATATAAACCCTTGCACCTGAGAAAGGTTCCCCCTAGGAAAACACCTGGGGCCCAGCCCAGCATCAGGACAGTGTGTGTGAGTTTGGGACTTGCAGGCTATTTGTGTCACAGCTGGTAATACTAAATCCAGGTGTTACAGAAAGCTCTCTACAGCACATCGTGTCCTGGGTATGCCCACAGGATCCCAGCTTCCCAGGCAGGCATCAGCCCCTGCTTGGTGAAAAGAGAAGAGGATAAACCCTCGTATGACACTATAACCTCATCGCTCTCCTCTAAAGCTGCAGACTCATGATGCAACCCCTAAAAATAGTCTAGGCCTGCCCCACTGGTGACAAATATTCTCCAGGATGAATAAGAGCTAAATACATCTCTCTGATGAGTGCCTCTCAAGATACAGCCTGTTCTTTTCCATCCCTCCGCAGCCCGGCCACATTGGCACTAGCGGCTCTGCCGTGATTCATTCCAGGTTAGTGCCTTGATCATTCACCTCTCCGCGCGCTCGCCTGTAGCTGCAGCCTGGTTTGATGGTGATGCATCTGCAAGGGCCACATTTGCCCCCAAAAGGCACCCGCACCGCCGGGCTGCAGCACAGACTGCCTGCTTCTCAGCACCACTTGGCAGCCAAGGTGTCATTTTACCCATCAGTGGTCGTTTTGGCCCATTGTCGACCCAAATATGAAGCGAGTGTCACTTGAACCACCTGCCTGTGTTTTGTTTGCATCTTTTCTTGATGGATTAAAAAAGTCACCTCCCTGCAGGGAGCAAAAAAGAGCAATGCCAGGAGTAACGTGGAGAAATGTGACCAAAGCCAACAGAACGGGAGTTCCAGGGAGTGGAAGGCAAACGATCAGTTATCACGACACACGCAAATGTTTATATAAAAGCCTGAGTTCATAATTACACTTCTGGTTTCATACCAAGTTATTCAGGGGAAAAACTTCAGATTTTAACTCACAATACTCATTTGCTCCTTTCTCTTTCAAGACCAAAGTAGCAGCTTAAGGAAACGTTCTGGGAATGATTTCAGAATCTTCACTGTTTCTCTGAGCTATTAATTTAGACTTCAAAATTGACATCCATCATTTTCAATTTTTTTTGTTTTTTAAAACCTGTTACTCCTGCCTAAGTAAATTTCATTTCTAAGTCTTTTTGTGCCAAACTTTTTCATTTTTTATCCATGCAGAGCCATGCAGATTCCATTCTGGAAGTGCGCTGCTTCCAACAGGAAGCTTTAGTGAAGCTGATATTTTTCACTAGGTGAGAGATAATTCTAGATTCTCAGCTAATTTATTAGATTCAATACAAAGAAATGAACTCACGCTCTTAAGGGGGTTGATTAAAAAATTCTACTCCAAAATATCTTGCACTTAAGAACTGATTTGAATGCAATAGGTAAAAATGAGTGCCTGATCTATTTGATTTGGTCAAGGAAAGATTAATGGATTTCACTGCCTAATGTCCTACCAAGTTTTCTTGTACCTGACATCAATCATTGTGTAAAGAAATTAGAATTTTCTTCTCCCAAACAAAACCCTTCTCTCCTATTAAGGTACTTACATGTAGCTAGTGGCAGTTCTTTGCTGAGAAATCTGTTCTTGTATTATCTTTTGTGAAGCATTTTGCTGGCAAACCTAAAAAATCACTGGGAAGTGCCAGGCCTGAGATTTCCCACTGGAAAATGCTGAGAACCGAGCTACGTCCTAAATCTGATGTCCGCTGCATGTACCTCTATGTGCACCCGGAGGGGAGGGACTGCCAATGTGGGCTCCCTTTCCTGCGCATTCTGTAGCAAAACAGATCATTAACGTGTCAATCTGCTTTCACAGATTGTTTGCACATTTAAAAAAAAAAAAAAAAGCTACAGGAGAGCTTTTCAGCACATCTAAAGCTTAACTGCGTGGTTACTGAGGGTGCTCAACTTCACTGACTTCAAAAATCTGTACATGAAGAATTTTTCAAGATGTACCAGCAGGTTGAGCCACCTGTACAAAGCCACTTCTCTTCGGTTTAAAGCATCTGAGTGTAATTTGGCAAGTTAAAACCACTGCAGAATGGGTGTGTGCATGAAGATAAAAAGGCACGGGCAAATCCCGCTGTTCTGACTGGCACCTGCTGTTTGCAGCTTGTTTTTCCTTCTCATTCCAGACCGCCCCGCTCACGTTGCTGACTGCAATCACACGAGGAAGGGCTGCCTGCCCTCTGCAAATACCAAGAAACTGGCCATCCTGTCACTTCCAGAGTAATTCCGTAATGTTCAAACCACTTCCCATTTCTCTCATCTTCAGGACACTCAGTTCACTCTGAACTGCTTCTGCCATTGCACAGATGTTCAGCATTAACAGCACGGCTTTCCTGAGCTCTTTTCGGCTCTGCGATACAACACAGAACACGAGAGCTTGCAGAACGACCCGAGACATTCCAGGTTGGTCTCGGTGCTCCTTCAACCTGTGTTAAGGCTGGTTTTAAACCTCTGGGCTGTGGAGTATGGGATTAAGGGAGAGGGCTTGGGAAGGGACCAGGGAAATGGGGGCACGTGAGCATTTCTGACTGAAGGGCAATCACGAGCCCGCACACACCACACCCTGCAGCACCAGGAAACCCCCAGGAGAGCAGTTAATGCTGCCCCAGGCCACTATGCCAGTGGCTGCTACCAGGCCGGCTTTCAAAGTCCACACTACGAGTGGGAAGAGGTGGTAAAAGCCAATGGTTTCTGCGATCCACGTTTACCTAGAGAACTTGCAGTGTTTTGAGTAAATATCATAACCAGGGCTAAAAGCAAGTCATGGAAACACTGCCAAGCACTGGATGTCCTCAGAAACAACATGGGGCCGCTCCGGTACCTCGGCTCACACCACGTGGCGGCACCTGCGAAGGCCTCGCAGCCAGTACCTCAATTCCCCACAGAATTTCCCCTGCTCTCGATTAAAATTCCGCATCTATCCCTGCCTATGGCCGCGCCCTTCCTGTCCTGGGCTCCCTCATCACGGCAGGCCGCGCGACCCCAAAGTCGCCGCGAGTTCCCGCTGCCACCCCGGCGCCCTCACACGGCCCCGCGCAACATGGCGGCGGCGCGCTGCCAATCCGCACCGGGCTGCCCAATCAGCGCGCGAGCCTGCCCGCCGGGGCGGGCCCCGAGCCCGCGATTGGCTAGTGCGGCGGGGAGCTAGTGCCGGCGGGCGCGCAGTGATACGCGGCGCGCGGGCCGAGGCGCG